TTAATTTGTTTAATCTTTTTTCATAACTTGAATTGATGTAGTAGTATGTACCCCTGACGATATTTTTGTTTGGAATCGTTATATGTACTCTTGTTTGTATTGTAATGTTTGTTCTTTTGTTAAGCATAAATAAAAAAAAAAACAAGACGGGAGCTAAGAAAAACGAAAAAAAAAAAGTATTTTCTCATTGGCGAAGGCTACAGCAGAATTGAGACTTCATATTATACCACAATTACAAACTTAAAAATGGACCGGTGGCTTACTGCTAAAGTTAACAACACTGGTGAACCTAAAACTGTTAAAGCAAATTAATGAAAGGTGCGGAAATTCATGTATTTATACATAATGTCAATTATATGGAACAAGTAATAGGTTTATTCCATGCTGAAAAAAAGAAAAGAGAAAATGCAACATTTCGGCCGTGGAGCCTTCATCGGGTGTGAAGACACAACACACCTGATGAAAGCTCCACGGCCGAAACGTTGTGTTTTCTCTTTTCTTTTTTTCAGCATGGAATAAACCTATTACTTGTTCCTTTGCAGCCTACGCATGCTGACGCAGCTACCCACCTGAACTATGTCAATGATATTGTGTGAGGGAGTGTGACGAGGGTGTTCGCGTTGTTTTCCCAATGGGTTTTGGGTTGGGGGGGCGCAAGTTCAAACTTAGACAAACACGGGGATGGGGCGCATGTAAAAAAAGTTGAAGAGTACTTAAAAAAAGACTAGAGCAAACTGCATTCAGATGGATGTGTCCTTCCTAACATCTTCATTGTTTTTTAACTTTTGTCCTTTTTTTGCGATGCAGCCTGTGGGACCTGACAACCTCTTTGTCAATTACCTGTCCAGAATTCACAGAGAAGAGGTAAAGCATCAGAAAGTGTATCCCTTATGACAGTTGCCTGTTTGCTGTGATATAAGTTAAAATGCTAGTATTTAAAGCATTCAGAACCGTATTTTATATATGGTCATGTATAAATGCTTAAGCATATGCAGGTATACATCCATAGATAAATACTACAAACATGTAGTACAGGTTTGGGCTGCCTGGTTGTATTTTTAGTGTGGCGGTCATCAGGAACAAGTTTATTGTGACTGTATTATAGGGCACCTTAAAATGCAGGTGTCAGTCCAGTTAAGTGACATTTCCCTTTAGTACTTTAGTAAAAGTGTATTAGCATGTGCCTGCAAAGCAAAATCCCTGACGTTTTAATGTGAAAGGAAGCCGGTGTAGTAGAGTAACAGGTTCGATTGGAATTGCCTTGTAGAAGCAGCCTAGCAAGTCACCAGGCAGTTTACAGTGTGCCAGCTGCTTCACCACAGTCTTCATTCTTTGCTCAGGACTACCACTTCATCCTGAAGGGGGTGGCCCGGCTGCTGACCAACCCCCTGATCCAGACCTACCTGCCCAACTCCACCAAGAAGATCCAGTTCCACCAGGAGCTGCTGGTGCTCTTCTGGAAGCTGTGCGATTTCAACAAGGTGAGGGGTTCTTGGCTCAGAAGCTGCTCCTCAACTTGAAGTGTCGTCTTCCCTCTTGCTGGAGAGCGTCTCCGCTTCAAGGCTGACTAGCTGTGGTGTTTCACTGGGGAAAATATAATTCGGTGGAAAACAGGAGCCTTTGAATACCCTTTACATGCCTCGGTTACAGATGTTATTTCTTGGTAGCTGTTCTAGATCAGTATGGACTAGAACAGTTGGTGCACCCCACAATATGGGCCTAATATAAATTGACCATATGCCCATATTGTGGTGTCAGGGGTGGGTATTTTTTCAACACGTATGTCTTACTCTTCTGCCACGTTGGTGATATCTGTTTCAGAAATTCCTGTTTTTCGTGCTGAAGAGCAGCGATGTGCTGGATGTGCTGGTGCCCATCCTGTACTACCTGAATGACGCCCGGGCTGACCAATGTGAGTGTCCTGTCGAGGCTTGTCTTTGACAGAAAAGGTCATTACAATCTGTTTCGTGGAACAGAGAAATCCAATGGGATTTATTTAATGTGTCCAAGTGCCTGTTGTATATAGTTGTATAAATGCAATTTCAGAATTTTTTTCCACAGGACTTTCAGTCTTTCAATTACAATAAGCGTTCTGTAAACATTTTAAAACATGACTGGTATTTCCACAGACCTGTAAGTTAAGCCTTAGAATTGTCATATGCCTTACAGTTCAGATTGTTACTTTCATGACTCCTGTATACATGAGTGTTCTTGTATATAACCCAGATTACATTTATTCCCTTTCTCCTATGTTGCCGAAGACTTTTAACTGTCTAAACTCTCCTATGTCTCTATATAACAATGTTTTTATCGGACTTGGAGAGCTGCTTCCTCCAGAATTCCCAAATATAATTTTACCTAGCGCAGCTTAATATACAAAAGAGTGGTTATTAGTGCTGTAACCCAGTCTGCCCCCATTACCCAGGGTGCCTGTCTACCCCCTGACCTTTGCCTCCTTTCTGCAGCCCGAGTGGGTCTGATGCACATTGGCGTCTTCATCCTGCTGCTGCTGAGTGGGGAGAGGAATTTTGGGGTCCGGCTCAACAAACCCTACTCAGTGCGTGTGCCCATGGACATCCCTGTCTTCACGGGCACCCATGCCGATCTGCTCATTGTGGTGAGCACTTGTTTGCTTGGCTCTAGTGAAATAAAACAGATGAATCTCACTAAAAATTCCCAGTACTGCAGTTTGTTTGTTTTTTGCCAGATACACATTGTAAAAATATGGAGCTGTAATCGAAGACAAAAGTCATGCATAGCTTTGACACACCATATGCTTCGCAGGTCTTTCATAAGATCATCACCAGTGGACACCAGCGCCTGCAGCCTCTTTTTGATTGCCTGTTGACAATTGTGGTCAATGGTGAGTATGAACTGGAAAGTCATCGCCACTTGCTGGCATTTCTGTGCATTGGATCCCCAAAGCATGTGAATTTGGATAGCTCTCGGATCATGCTTAGAAACACCTAATCTCTGCTTAGCGGGGGTCTAAAAACAAAACATGGACATGAAGGTGTTAGGTCCTCATGTTTACTCTGTGTGTGCAGTTAGTAAAACCCCCTTGTCTCTCCCTCAGTGTCTCCCTATCTTAAGAGCTTGTCAATGGTTGCTGCAAACAAGCTTCTTCACCTACTGGAGGCCTTCTCCACACCCTGGTTCCTCTTCTCTGCCTCCCAGAACCACCACTTGGTCTTCTTCCTGCTGGAGGTCTTCAATAACATCATTCAGTACCAGTTTGATGGTGAGACTCGGATTAGTTTTGACCACTCTCGAGCAGAGTCATTCAACACCAGGTGGTTTTCATTCTGTCTCTGTGGTGTATCCATCCTGACAGCAGTGACAGCTGAAGGGAATTTGTCAGTCTAGCTAGCAGCATCACATAAATGATATTTATCATCCTTTGTCAGTGTAATTAGGAACACAAAATATTGCAAAACTTTCAAATACTCCGAATTTGTATTTTCCCCTTCTGCCCAGCCTCTCGTAGTCACACCTGCTTGTCTGCTGCACTGTCCAATGTCTTTGTGTTAGCGTTTATGATTCCAGACGACACTGCTTCACACTGTGCTGCTCATTTCCAGGTGACCGGGCCACAGTGCATGTTGTTTTCCTGACCTCTCTGTCTTTGCCTCGGCTCCCCCCTTGTTCTTTGATCTCGCCCTGCTGTGCCAGGCAACTGTAACCTGGTGTACGCCATCATCCGCAAGCGAAACGTCTTTCACCAGCTGGCCAACCTTCCCTCTGACACCTCGTCCATCCAGAAGGCCCTCCAGCGGAAGAAGAAGTCCCCCGACGCCATCTCCCGCACCAACTCCCAGGAGGCGGTCTCCATGGAGGGTTCCCGGCCAGCTGTCCCAGCAGAGCCCGGCACCCTCAAGACCAGTTTGATCGCCACTCCAGGTACCCCCTCCCTGTCTGATCTGCATCCTTCTCCACCATCTCCCTCATCTCCTGCCCTGTCTGCATCAGATACCAGTGGAGTCGCTTTCTCTTGGGGATGTGTTATAGATGTTATTTCTCAAAATGTGCATTAAGGATATTAAACTATTTCCTGATATTTCCGTACTAAACAAAAGTTTTGTGTTTGACATGGATTCTGAACGTTAAAACTCTGAAAAATACAGAGAGACAATATCAGGATTTGCAGTGAGGCTGAAGTCCATTCTCAAACTTTGCTTTGAGTTAGTTGTGGTTTAATTTTTGAGGTTGAGCTCTTGTATGGTAAGTGGTAGAGGCTCTAGTCCACCCTTAACATCTCAAAAGTGTTCTTCGTTCTACAACAGCCTAGATGGTCCAAATGGCCTCTTCTCATTTGTAACAGTTCTTATTAAAGCGGCTCTCCATGTCCACCTCCTCCACGTCCTTACCTCCGAGTACAACATTGTATGTTGGCATCTGCCTGCTTCCTACTTCATCTCCATTGTCAAAATGAAAACGCAACGATTGAGTTGTATTTAAAAAAAGAACTGGTCTGTTTGTTCATTTTCAGGCATTGACAAACTGACAGAGAAGTCCCAGGTTTCTGAGGACGGCACGATGGTCTCTGTCCAACAGACAGATTCTCCTCAGACCCCATCAGATAACGGCGGGATTGCAGGAGCCAGCGACACCGAGTCCAACTCGGGGAGAGACAATGAGGTATGCAGACCTGTGCAAGGGTATAGGAATACAATGACAGCTCCTCTTACAGGCTGCTTTACTAACACACATTTTGTTTTATGGGCTCATCCGAAGCAGTCTCTATGTGAAAATGGAGAACTGTAGCACTGTGCTGTGCAGGATATGTTGTGAAATTCATGTTGGGGGGGAAATGCAAACAGTGGGTACAGTGAGCAAATAGGTGTACAAAGAAAACGTGGAAGCACGTTTTAAAAAGATCTGGAGTTGAGCCTATATTTTCAAGGTACTAAACACTTTTTGCAACTGTATACAATGTTATATCTTGAAAGGCCTTTCCTTTGATGTTTAGGGATTTCAGAAATATAAATACCCCCCTCTACATCACGAGTGTCTTGGTATTTCAAAAGCATGCCTTTACTTGTGTGAAAATATAGGTGCTCTTTCTGTTTCTGTCAGGCTTAATTCATAGCTAAGCTGATGAAGTGCTGGGTAAACTTTGAGAATGAAAGAATAATTTGGCCTGTTCCTGATTTGTATTTCCTTGTTTGTTTTGGAGGCTTGTGTACGCTTCTTCTGAGGGTGAGCAGTGCAGGGTGTCTAGAGCTTTGTTTTCTCTCCTCAGGATGTCTTCTACACAGAGACGGAAAGGAGGCGTCTGTCCAGCGTGTCCTCAGTGAGTCAGTGGACGCCCACACCAGACTGGGTCTGTATCTGTTCCACAGTGTTCTAATACAAACTCAGGACACAACTGCCCAAGGCCAGCTCAGCGTTTAGAACACGATACGCAAAACATAACATTAATACTGTATTTTTATACGTGCAAAGTATTACTGATGTGCGTTTCCTGACATAATTTATGCTCCTGCTTGAGGGTAGTGGAATACTTTACTTTTTTTGTCCACTTTTAAACCACTAGAAAGCAGACTGTGACCAAACAGCTGGAAAACATTGTTATACTTTCTGCTCCTCATTTCTGTCACCTTATTTTCTTGCAGCAATTCCACTGTTTGTCTGTGCTTCTTCTAAAATCATATTTTTACCGCATGTATGTTAGTGTCTTAGGACCTGCTTGTCCCTCTGAGCATGCATCTGAACTTGTCTTCGGTTGTTTCCCACCTGTAGGTCCTGTCTTGGAAAACTAAGCTTCCTCTCCAGACCATCATGCGCCTCCTACAGGTCCTAGTTCCTCAGGTAGAGAAAATCTGCATTGACAAGTAAGTGATGGGCTTTCTATTCTTATAGGCTTTTATGTTGCAATTACCAAGATTAAGATAACTGCCTAGAATGGTCAAAACATTGCTCAGTTTTCAGTAGCAGGCCTTTATAATGATCATGTTATCAATAAGTATAGAGCTGTTAGAGAAACAGTGGCCTCTGTACTGAAGGTTGTCTCAGATAGTTCTATCTTCAGGTAGTGAGAATCACAGTGCATTGTGTTGAGAGAATCAGTTGTGAGTCAAAGATAGCTTCTGTGCTTTAATCATTTGGCTGCCTTTTTTTCCAACACTGCCAATAGCTCTGGTTTGTTGTATTTTTTAAGTGAAAAGCTTTAGTCTTATCTTTGTTATACTGGGAAAATATTAAGCTACCCTCTACATTAAAATAATAATAAAACAATCAAATGTGATATCTGGCTAGAGTTCACTTTAATTAAACCCAGTCGTTGGTTTGTTTATGATTTAGTTTATGGGTAATAGGTTTATAGCAGGTATCAGCAAGTGCTTATAAAGACCAGTTGTCTTTTATTATTTTGTTTTTAAAATGCAGGAAGAACAGCTCAAGCTGTTCAAACATTTATATATTCTTTGTTCTGGGCGTCCAGTGTGGAGTTTCTCAACCAAGACAACACCCTCAGTTGTGAAAGAGTTTTGGTTTAATGGACTTAACTAAGCCTACATAAAAACAGGCAGGCTCAATGTTTGGAGTCATGAAGTGAGAATAAAGGGCCTTTCTTGCTTACCAGAAGGCAAGCTCTTTGTCTGGGAAGCTTTAAGAAGATTGTCTGGCTGATGGTTTTGGTGTTCCACGCAGGGGCCTGACGGATGAATCGGAGATCCTGAAATTTCTCCAGCATGGGACCTTGGTTGGACTGCTCCCAGTGCCACATCCCATCCTCATCCGCAAGTACCAGGCCAACGCGGGCACAGCCATGTGGTTCCGCACATACATGTGGGGAGTCATCTATCTACGGTGAGCAGGGCTCGAGTTCGGAGAGCACCTTCAGACATACTCAACCTTGGTATATGTGCCAACTTCCCGTTCAGATGTTCGGCCAAATTCTAACACTAATAAAAAGAATAGACAGGCATAGCCTGCTTAATACTTTCACTTTAACTGATCTGGCACTGGTCAGTGCTGGACCGAGATCAACGCTGTCACATCCTCTCTCTTATGAGGTATGAGTCAGAGGGAAAATTCTGTAATGGTGTACAGGGAGAGGTGCAGGAAAGTAGTGCCACGTGCAAACATGGAGTATTAATGCACAGGGAAGCAAAGCTGACCTCCAGCCACACTTCTCTTCAATAACACCATTTCATCAGTTCAGCAGAAAACACATGAAGGGTACAGGCAATCGATTCCACCAAAGCAGCTATCAAATTCCTTCTTTTCAAATTGTTACCATTAAGCAGGACGTGATTGTTCGGGTCAGGGTCAAGGGTTTGAATGTAAATGAAAGGCGTTTTTTTTTCCATTTCTTGCCATGTTGCAGTAATGTGGATCCCCCGATCTGGTACGACACCGACGTCAAGCTCTTCGAGATCCAGAGGGTGTAGAGAGCAGAGCTCGAGAGCCACCAGCAGAGGCAGGACCGTAGTGTGAATCGCCACCCCTGTGAGCAACACACGGTCCAGCTTCTGAGGGACACCACTCCCCTGCGTCTGAGCTGGTCTGTTTGAGAAAGAAGGCCAGGAAAGCTCGGTCAGCAACTGCTTTTTGCCAGCAGTGCACTGGCTGGAGAGATGTTAGGCCTGTTTTCCACTGTTGATTAAGCCAAAAGCTCTTGATGTTAAGGGGCATCTCACGTTTTGAGCTGCTGACAGACACATTTCACTTTGGCCATTTGACAACTTCTACCTAGTGAAAGGAGTCAGTAAATAAAAATAAAGAACATAGGAAAACACATGTGAGTAAAGACCCTTCCACTTCAGTGTAAACATTTGTAAATGAAGTCTCAGTAATAAAAGTCACACTAGAAAAGGCACTCATCCAGCTTTGCATTGATGCCTTTAGAAAAACACCATAAGCATTGTACAGAAGGGAAAAACACCAGAGTTTTTTCTTTGTCAGCCTGAATTGTTAGGCAGAGTTATCCCATACCACACTGTGGGCTGGAGCATGTGTCAGTTTCCTGAGTGATCTTTCTGCAGGGATAAGTTCGAAACTGCATTCAAACCACACCTTTCATCGTGGAGAAAATATTTCTATATCAAATTGTAAAAACCTAGTGATAAAGGTTTCCTAACTCTCTGGTCTTGAATGAAAAATGTCATATATTGAATTCCTGCAAGTCTAGTTGTGTGAGACAAACTCTGTTGTGAATAGTGATGTCATGGCTTATGTAATTAAACATATCTTCACAGGCAATCAATCGCTGACATGAAAAGAATGTTTATCCACCACATGGAAACAGGTGGTATATATGATCCATTAGTACTTCTGATTGGCCAATCGCTTGGTATTAATGAACTCCTGGAAGCTCTTGTCGCTTTAATACACTGTCACTGCTTTCAGCATCTTAAAATGAGCACACCATTGATGCACAATCCAGACAGGGTAGTGGAATACTTTGCTTTCTCTGAATTTAGGAATACCACAAAAGACTGAGAAGCTAATATTTCTTAAAAACTTGTTGCCCCTATATTTAAGTATTCTGGCCGTAATCTGTATAGGTCTGTGCTGTAACTGCCATTTCTCTGACAAGTGCGCGACTGACAGAGCCATGTGCTCAGTCTCCTGTTTTTAAGCCATCACGATCTCATCTGATCTAGGATCAGAGATGTGCATGCAGAAAATATTTGGAACTTCACGTGATCACTTCCAGTTTGAGGTGTAAGTGCACTCGCACAAGGAGGCACTCTAAGTGATCCATTTCTCTTGTTTTGCATTTAATCCAAAATTGGATCTCCATGTTGGTTTTCTGCTGCAAAATTGAGCTGTGGTGCTGGTGCAATTCAACATCAAACTTGTGTGGCCCTGCCTCAGCTTTTGTAGCTTCAGGTTTAAGTTTTTGCTTCTTTATGCTTTCCATGTCGTACTTTTATGGTGACTTACAGAATACTGAGAAATGCGTGTTGTGGTCACGCGAAAATGTTAATTGGCCAGCACAGTTTACGGACAATCAGAATGTAAAATTTGGAGAGTTAAATCTGTTTTGCTGCCACAATATCATATTCTTTTCATTACATTTGTGTTTTCAGTGTAATAAAAAAACGCAAAGTCAGTAAAAGAGGTAAAAAATGAAAGCAAGAAATAATGGACCTGTTATATGGTCTTAATATTCACTATATATTTTGTTTTGGTATAAAAAGCTATAAAGGGACATCTTTTGAAATATTCCTGGACTTCAGCTGGAATGTATTTATTGTTCTGAAACACTGTTGAACTAGTCCGCTTCAGTTGTGTTGCTGCTGTAGTGGTCTTTGTGTTGATGATGCCAATGTATTTGTTCTTCACAAACAACAAGGAAATGATGAGTTGTATGAAGGAGTATTTTTTTTTTCCTTAAAGATCTGTAGAGTCTATTATAAATTATTTATAAAGGAAATGTTAAACCAAGATGGGTGTGCATGAAGTTATTTAATCAATGTGAAACAGACGTTTTATGTCGTGAATTCTAATACATTGTAAGTGCCATTTCATTTCTGAAACCTGGACTTTCTTTAATTCAAATTCACAACAAATAATGTTTCACACTCTCTTATGTCATCAGTAACATATTTTTTTCAAAAATATTTATCTACAGTACTTAGGTTTGTGACTCAAACTTTTAGTGTTTTTTTTCCAAACTTACTGCTTTTAATTCTACTAAAAGCGAGCACAAACATAATAAATTGGACTACAAGACTCTACACAAATTATTTTTCAGACCATGTTTATTGATAGCTTTGACACTTGAATGGGTAATTCTGCCCTGGCTGCTACAGATAAAATCAAATGAAGTGAAATAGTGTACCTGAAGGGGTTACTTTCAGCTGAAAAAACAACCTAGTGGAAACCGACTAGTGTTCAGATAGATAGTCCTTAACTCTGCAAATCCCCTGGGCAGCCATCTTGAAGAGAGACTTGCTCAGTCCACCTTGTGGCCTAGGCAGTGACAAGGACCTCCAGCAGAGCCCCCACAGAGTGCATCCTGTAGAAGACCCCAAGAGGCTGCCCCAGGTTCACAATCACGAACCAGGCCGAGAACCCGAAGAACTGCTTCCCCAGGCCGTTCTCAAACTGGGGGTGTGCTCCGAAGGCAGGAATCACCCACAGCTGCAAGAGAAGTACAGATGTTGAGGCAAGGGTTCAACGGCTCTCTGCCCGAGACGCGATTCTCATGCTGGTGAAATCATGATATGTGCTACAGAAAAGGCAAGATCCTTTGGCTTCTCGTGTGATATGCTAGCAATAATATCTTCCATGTTTATATACCAGAGGACCCAAAAATGCCTTAGAAATTAGTAATAGCAGATATTTCTTAATTTTATCATCACAGTAACACCACTGTATAGAAGAGACTGTTTAATCTGCCACTCCTTTGTAGGTGAGGTCATGAGAAAAAAAAACTTTGAACGAAAAGAATGTGGTGTTAAAACCGTAAAGCAAGAACAATAACCAATTATAGAGGCATTGTTGAATGCCATGTTACTTCATACTAACGTTGATAAGAATCCTTTTCACAGTAAGATCACCCCTCATGAAGCACCCACCATGATATTGGCCAGTATGAGGAATGCACAGATCTCCTGCAGCACTCTCCTGCTCCAGTGATTCCTGCTGTGAGGCTCTTTCTCGACCGGGGCTACTGTTGCTGTCCTCACTTCACTTTTTTCCACCAGTGGTACAGGCGGGTCTGTAACTTCTTTGGTAGTGTCTTTTGGTTTAATTCCCTTCTACACGACATAAAGATGGAACATTTCAGACTTTCAGGAAAGGCATTTTTGCCAACTTCAAGCAACTAGCAAACTCGATTTTTCTTAATTCTTTTCAGCGGACAGGCTGGAAAAAAGTTTGGTCTCACAGTCTTGGCAAGGGTTACATCCAAGAAAATCTGCATTAATCCTTGATTGGGCAGAATCGGCTTTTGTTGATTCGAGAAACCTAGAGAAACAGAGTTGCCCATTCTGTGGTTATTAGATTGTTAAATGGTATTCTAAATGAATTTAGGAGGTGTTATCAATGTTGCAATTAATAGTAACAGAGTGACTCAATTTTTGTGGAATCTGACAACCAATTAGATGTTTTTTTTAAAAGAGGAGTGCAAGGTACCTTAAAAAATGAGTTAAACTCCCTAATTTTCCGCCGGGATTGTCTCTGAGTGATGTCGGGGTGCCGATGGAGCCCTTCGATGATGAAGATGTTCTGCAGGATCAGCTCTAACAGGCTGAGCAAGGAGTAGGACAGGTCTAGACCTCCCAGGATTCCACTGGGGCCCATACCCCAGGCCGCCACCACGGAGAAGTAGCAGATGGACAGCTGACCCAGCGCTGTCCCCAGTAAGAGGATCACATCCAGACTGCGGGTGGGATTGTGGCCCATGTCCTGTGCTCTCGCCTCTATCTTGTGAATGATCACACCGGCAAGGGAGCAGAAGGACATCACAGGGATGACGGCCAGGTGGTAGGAATAAAAGAGCACGAAGGCGGTGAAGCGCCCATGTGCTGAGCTCACCCACACCTGGTACATGATGAAGATTGCAATTCCCACCAGCAAGACCACAGCCCCCACTAAAGGCCCAAACAGTACTCCTCCGTGGTACACCACTCGGAGCGTCACCTTCTGGGCATGCTCCGGGTGAGAGTGGGGCTCCATGTGTCTGCCCACGTTCTTCCACATGATGTACAACAGGCAGGCAGCCATCAGGTAGTACTCGATGTTGAAGGGGTAGAGCACCTCGTAGCCCTTTCGAAAAATGCGGCACCCTGCGTGTGCTCCACAGTGACACTGGGAGACATTGCCCATTCCTGAAATTAAACCAAAATCTTTCACAACACGCTATGAAACAAAATACAGTTGTTAAGAATTATTCTAAGACCTCAGTATAACACTGCACAATAGTTCTAAATATCTCAGAATAAGTAGTAGCTCGCAGATGAAATAGGTAAGTTCTTCCTAAATTCATTTCACTTAATGTATCACAGATATAGTAGATGTGCCTGTGATAACCAGTTTTAAAATGGGATTCCATTGCACTTACAGTATGCCTACAGTATGTTAAAACACCTGATGCAATTATATTATCAGGATCATACAATCAAGCAGAGCTTCCTGTATGGTTGAGCAAAGGAAAGGGGTGTACTAGTGCTTGTTGTGTGATTATTTATGGAAGAACTTGATTCAGTTATTGGTTGGCAGGTTAGCTTGTAATATGCTTGTAGTGTGACATGAGGGAGGGCTTATGCATAAGAAATAAAGGCATATTTTGGTGGATGGTGGATAACACAATGGGTTCAGAGATTCTATGCAGGTTATAACAGAACTATGAAGACTCATTGGAAACAGTACCTATATTGGAGTCATCAAAGCTGCCTGGTAGGGATGCATGTGGGAAGACAGCTCTCTCCTCCTTCTCCAGTTCAATCTCTAGGTGTACGGTGTCCTCAGTCACTGCACTCAGCCACAGCAGGAGGTCAGTAGTGAGAGTCAGCACTAACCCAGACCTTTGCAACAAACCACAATTCCACAGATACCAGGAGCAAACAGGACAGTCAATTTCACTGGTAAACCTTTCAAAAAAGATTCTTTGTTTTTCTCTAAATTTGTTTTAATGAAGAGTATGAATTCTGATCAATAAAAATAGAAAAGAGCCAATACTAAATTCATTCTGAACTTTCCCATCTACTTTTTAAAGGTTTAATTCTAGTAAAGAAAAACATGCTCTGGTCTTCTTAGTTCTAAAAGAATGTATCGCTACAGTCCTTGTGATAGACTCAAAAGCAACAAAAAAAAACGTGCGACATGTTGCGCTCCCAGTCTATCAACAATTTTAAGCAAAACAATTTAGATAGAGCAAGAATAAATGAAAAGAAAAAGCAAAGGCTGAACTGTGTTAAAACACATGGGGAAGGGCTTATGACTTGAAATCTAATTGACTTCTTGTGGAGAGGTCAATAGAGTCACCTGGTGAGGATCTTGTGCTTATGGATGCAGTCCCTGGAGTGACCCCACAGTAAGTATGTCTAGACCCAAACAGAAATATAAAAGATCTTCAGCCATTTTCCTTGCGGTTCAATATAGTTAACCTTATAGGCTTAATGATATTGAGAATATACTGCATAAATAAATAGAGAGAAGCAGAAACAAACATTTACTGAAGAAATATATACAGTATACTATAGTCCTGCCCATACAGTCACATGGATTTTTGATCATTTCTGACAACCAGAAGCATACAGACACTTCAATACAATTGCATTATTGCAAATGTTGTGGTGGAAATACTGAAAAGGATGCATTGGTTTAATTTAGGTATACCAGGCACTGCAAGCATTGTGATATACCTATACCTATACAGAGCTTCACAGCTGTGAGAGTGTGCTGTACCTGCAGTCCAAGGAAAGGGGCCTCAAAGAAAGGTAGTAGAACCTTAGCTGCAGGCTTGCACTCTGCCATAATGATGTAATAACCCATCTTGAACACGTGGAGCAGGAGACTGCAGGCGGAGAACACCATGAGGACCACTGCCATACAACAGAGGAGCTCATGATGAGGACAAGGCAAGCCTTTCAATCCATTCTCTAACACAAGCTTCTGAACAGGAGATATCTAAGGAGCTTATAAGTAACAGATTTTCTTTTTTTTAGAGTAAATAGAACCTTTATCTTCATAAAGGACTTTGTGCAAGGTGGAGCATTTCAGTTAATAATTTCTTAATAATTTATTGAAGCAATAAAACTAAAATGCTATTGAGATATTTTAAGTTAGGAATAGTTTTCTGGCTGCAGAAATAAATATTCCAAATCAATAAAACCCTAAAGCTTTTTCAGTAGAAATCTGTTGTCTCACATAATTGAGCCATTATCTGTCTATCAAATCTATCTCATGGAGAAATTATCCCCAAAATTGTTTGAGCAAAGATCCAAACTCAGAAACTACAAACTGCCTACTTTACATTCTTTTAAATGGAATTGTATTCTAACTTTACTTTTTCTAAGTTTATTCTAGATCTTCCTTATGCTTCAGTGTAGTGTCTTCACCTTGAATTCCCTGTTCAATGTGAAATTTCATCAGCTTCAACAGCACACTAGTTTTCTCAGGTGAAAAACTGTCAGAAAGGAGCATCAGGAGAGGGCCGTTACAGTACCTGTCACACAGATCCCTCCAGCGTGGTGATCTCTGTGGGGAGAAATCCCAGGCTGTCTCCTGGCCCAAAGCAGGTACCACAGCATCCATGCCAGACTGAGAGCCATTAGTACAAGAATGAACAACCTGGGCTCCTGGTGCTTCAAACCTTCTGGGTTAAAGACCTCTGCCGTCAGCAGAGCAGCCCCCAGGAGCACCAGGTTTAAAGCCAGCAGCCCGGAGACCAGCCTCCTCCCACTGGGTGCCCATATCAGCACAGGGTCCATCTCCTCTCCTGCCTGTCCCAAAGTGAGCCCGAGGCCAGGACTGTCAGGCTCCTCGGTCCACCTCTGCGCCCCAGACATTCTCCTCTCACCCTCCTGCCTCACTTCCAGGCACTCAGACAGGAGGGCTTGTCAACCTTTAGAGTTTCTGTGAAGGCTGTGATAAGTCTCGGGTTGGGAGGATCAACGTCACCAGGCGTTTGTTCTTTTTTATAGTCGTTCTCGGGAGATATCTCGAGCTGGTGCTCAAACACCCTGCTGCAGTGGGTGTGACCTTGTTTATTTACCCCAAGAACTACAAAAACCTTTAGCACGAGGTGGAAAACTGGAGCCGGCGTCTGGCAACTATTTAAAAATGCCCGGCAATGTCTGCAGATTAGTAACACAGTACTGTATATGTTTTAATTTCGAATTGCTATTTCAGAAAGTCAAATATGACCGTTGGTGTTCTGTATACTGAGTACTCATTTATACAGTATGTGCATAAATCCAATGTGTTACTCTTTTTGAATATTCCAGTTTTTCTTAAAATTCATGGTCTTATAGCACTGAATTAAAATAAAAGAAGCATCTAACCTTGGATCTTAAGCTGCCTGTATAGAAGTGGGAGATAAATGAGATAATTAAGGTGTAGTCACTCACTGACAGAACTCTTATATGAGCTCAGTTTTCATGTGCTGCAGTGTTGAAATCTATCTGGTTTTGTTCTACAAAAGGTTTAAGTCAGGACATCCTCCCATTAATTCTCCCCAACAACTAGAGGTCCACCTTCTCCTCCCCCCTCCCCCCTATCCCAGTAAGCACCAGGCCCGTCCAGATCCAACCCGATTTAAACCGTTACTACTGTCTGATTGGACTGTGTGCACGTATGGAATTATGGTAATTGCTGTTAGGCTGTTAGATTACCACTTCAAAGCAGTCTGAAAAGCAACTTCAACAGGTAAGGATAACTGTCTCAGAGCCAAGTGCTGATATCCAATTATCTTATTGAGCTGAGTGATCATTGTTCCAATTTTTTTTTCTTGTTAAAGCTACATAAAAGTTCAGTCAACCAGACTTATTAGTCATAGTTTCTCTAAGTGCCTTCTCAATTCTCAAATATTTTTCAGCATAAACTAACACTAAAATGTAATCCTCTGAACTTAAGTCCATATGTACATGAAACAATAGGAGTGGTATAGTTTTTACTCTACTTCTTATTTTACATTAAACCAGTAATTTCCTTCTATTAACTGGGATTTACTGGGATTCTGTTTACTGGGATTTACTGTAATAATTAACAAGGAAGGCAAACAGTCACAGTATCAGGAAATGGCATGATGTATATTTAACAATTCCTTTCTTTGTATTTTTTTACTCAGTTTACATAGAACAGAAAGGTAGTGTAGGAGGTAACACTGTAGTTATTGCACTGTCCTTTAATTAACACACATCAAAGATATTCAATATATTAACTAGTACTGATAAGTCACTTACCTGTCACCCTTACCAGAGTATTACACATCACTCAAATATATTAATACTGATAATGTGTATTTATTTTACATATTTATTACACACATAATTAATTTACCACAAGTATAAAGTAAAAAAGTTTAAAGTAAAAAGCTGCAAAAATTAATTTGCCACTCCTTAAACATCTTTAAAAATTATGTGGAAGAGTAAGACAAACATTTCCATACAAGTTCTTTGTCATAAAAAATATTTTAAGCACAGTTCAACAGATGATTGATTAAAATACAAACAAGATCGTATAAACATACACAAAATGCATTTCTTAGAAACAGCATGTATTTAAATGCACATTGTAAATGCAAATTTGATAATTGTTTTTCTGTCTTCCACTGTTAAAGTAGGTTCATAGCCCCACACAAAGAAAAAACAAAATGACTTTTTGTAAAAACTGTTCGATCCTGAGTTATTTGAAAAATACAGCTTCAAAATCACAATGCTTCATAGTGTATGGCCAAAACATTGAGCTCCACCACTCAATAGAAACTACAAGTGTGCTCAGGCCATTTGGCACATGCATAAGTAATCAAGGGTGATGTGCTTAGCTTTGTTTATTTTTCACTTTTTAAACTTTTGTTTAAGTTAAAACTGTAATATGATTTTTTATTGCACACTCCCAATTCTTCAGTGTCCTACAACACCCTTATCTTCCACTCTCGAGCTCCTGATGTAATTCCGCAAATCACAAATGTTGGCTTTATTCACTGAAGTAACTGTATAAGACACAATACAAAATAACTTCTACTGCTTCAAGCAGATGCTGTAGATTTAACATAACCTAGGACTTTTCAAATAATTAGCCATTGATAAATAATCTTCTTCACAAATAATAATCTGTTTCAAAATTATAGAATCTATGAGGTGCTTGAGAATCCATGCCATACAAGATCAATGCCTTTCCGTCACAGACAGAGGACAGAGGTAACTTTCCGTATTAGGGACTGAAAATTCCAGTAAGAATTGAACCTAACAGAATGGATGAGTTAAGCCACTAGTCTTCACTACTATAGCCCCTCAAAATCATTGCTTTCATTTACAGTTGTAGTTCTTGGAGTTCAACATGTCCTTTCTCTAAAAGCTTGTTAACATGCCATTGCATCAATACCTTCCTCTGCATCATAAACTCTGTGATCAATGAGACCAGGAGTATTCATTTTTTTCCTCCTTGTCATTTGCATTACTATAGTTCATTAAAGTCAATTGTGCAATTTGTTCAAAAGTCAGATGCAATATAACACTTGATAAAATATATCAGAAAACGTATGTTTGTAAAACGCACAAATGGCGATTGTAGGAATTGGATCTGACTTTGATGCAGCATTTCCTTTAAGACGGAGAAATTCCCTAAGGAATATTTAGGAAGTGAGGAAGACCTCAAAGAGGCTGGCTACTGAGTGCATTCGATAGAAGATGCCAAAGGGAAGTCCAATATTGACAATGGCGGTCCACATGGAGAGCTTGTAGAATTCTATTCCCAGCTTATTGTCGAACTGGGGTCGAGCACCAAATGCTGGCATAACCCAGAACTGTTGAAGGAAAGGAGTGAAAGAGACTGTTCAATAACTGGATGGAGATACAGACCAAAAGATAAAACTAAGTTTGGGACACACAGGCAAGAATATCTGGACAACTGATTTAAGCTAAGTCAAGACACATATATAAGCAGAACTGTAAGGACTACAACTTTGCAGGCACGGCCTGAGTATGCTAGCAAATGTCCGCAGCACTGCTGATAAGAAAGATAGAAAATGTTTCACTCACAATGATGTTGCAGAGAAGCAGGAAGGAAGAGATCTCCTTGAGGGCTCGCCTCCTCCAGTACTTGGAGCTCTGAGATGGTAGCGTACTGGGCATGCTGTGCATGGTGTGGACAGGGCTGTGGCTCAGCTCCAAGCCATTTTCTGTAGGCCGTGCTTCTTCACAGCCTCCCTGCCTGAAGGCGTTGTCGTTGATGAAGACCGTGCCTCCCACAGCTGACTCCTCGTTGAAAGGTTGCCTGTGGAGCCCCTCAATGATGAAGAGGTTCTGCAGGCAAAGCTCAACGACGATGATGATGGCACAGACGAGGTCCAGCACGTAGAGGTACTCTGTAGACTTCTTCGCCACCACTGCCACAATGGTGAAATAGCAGATGGTGAACTGGCCCATGGAGGCCCCCAGGAGGAGAGCGATGTCCAAGCTCCGAGTGGGATTCTTGTTCGAAACGTGGTCCCTCTTCTCGTACCGGTAGATGATGGAGCCAGCCAAGGAGGCAGCTGACATCAAGATGAGGCCTACGATGTTCATCACATAGTACATCAACAGGGCTAAGTCCTTTGTGTCTGGGGAATTCACTTCTACATCATAGACCACGAAGACAGCAAGTCCGGTCACTACAACGATGATTCCCAGAACTGGCCCCGCCAGTATCCCCCGGATGTGAAAGCTGACGTGGTGATGGCTGCTGTGCTCGTCTATCTGGCGGCCAACGTTTTTCCACATGATATAAGCCATGGCCGATGCAAAGAGGCTGTACTCTATGTTAAAGGGGTATAGATAGTAGTAACCTTTTTCTAAGATGGGGCAGCTCGCATAGCTGCACTGACAGTTAACACTCGGGTTGGCAGCTGAAACGACAGGATAATAAGAAAGATGTTATACTTTCCTCACCCCCTTCTTCTATATTACAATAATTACACTAGAACTTTGTTTTTAAGCGTTGCATCGCATCACGATGTATTACACTACATGTTTACATCAGGTGCCAAAAAAGCAAGGCATCAAAAGCAAGAGAGTATACTATTTGTAAAATAAATCCGGGCTTTTCTATTTAAGACTTTTAACTACTGCTGCAGGAATATAGGTGGATATAGTCTGCTTTTGTCTCTTCCCAAGCTGTTTTTATTCTCCTCTTGGGAATGGATTAGGCTAAGATGTAAAGCCCTTTACAGCCCAGTGATCAAATGGCATTCCGTGAGATTGCATTAACAATGAGTGGCTCGGTATGATTAAAATTTCAGTGGCCCCTTTAAACCCAAACCTTTCATTGTCAGACTGTGGGCTTTGGAAACGTTGGAGATTCTTGTACTGGAATCCTTATGCCCAGTCTGATGGAGAGACTCATCTGTGACAGCTGCCATCCACACCATGAGATTGCAGGCCAGGGTCAACATCAGCCCGCATCTGCAGGAAAATAGCCCAAAAGCAAGGGTGAACACTGCGTAACAAAAACTGCATCACATTTTATTTCATGTGTCCCTTTTTAGCTGGGGTTATTAACTAGAAATGATGTCCTTTGTAGATTACCAAGTCTACACCCACAAAAAAACTAAAACAAGCTCATAGCAGCTTCCCATCTGGCCTGCTGGTGTTAGCCAGGGATGAGAGGCAGACACCATGTGATGACTCAACTGTATTAAAAGTCAAAACAAATGAATCTGAAAAATAATTTATGACATAATCTTATATAGATCCTGAACATGAGCATGTGAAAGAAGCTCTCATCAATGTACCCACTTACCTAGTTATGTTGCGCTGGATCTGAACACAGTCTTTAGCATGAACCCACAGAAAGTAAGTCTGAAACATGAAGGAGTGAGGTAGTTAACAGCACAGCCGGCAAGATTATCATGCATGTCAAAGAGAATGAGGAAGAGCAGGCTGAGCCACGTCATAGGCGAGGCAGCACCCTACTGAAGAAGAGGGGCCTCAACCAGAGCTCCGCATGCCCACAAGTGCCCAGGAGGGGTCGCTGTGTCACTGATAGTTGATTGAGCTCTAGCCGAATAATCCCACAACCAATTACTAGCCACAGCTGACTAGTGATATCATCGAGCCTCAAACCCTTGATCAAAGAGCTCAACCCATGCTTGGCAAGTTCCTTCACTTTTGGAGCTACTCCAGAGGTCCCAGGATATTCATTTTTAACTGGATATATATAGAGTAACTTCCACTGTCTGTCATATAATCAAACACATACAGACACTAAATCTAAAATGATTGCTTTGAAGTATTGCTGATTAATTATGGTGAGTAGAGAAGAAAATCTCTTTACTGTAACATTAGTAGGGTGAATTGTTTGTAACTAGTTAACCATCCTAAATTAGAAATTTCTCACATCATTTATTTCCTCGTCATTTATTGCGATGGCTCAGGTAATCCTTGTGATTTTTACCTGCATAAGTATGAACACAGCCTGCACCACAGGGAATACAACTTTCACCGCCGAGTCACAGTGCATGTACCCAATGTAGTTGGCAATCTTGAAGATATCCATGATTAAGCTGCACACTCCAAAAAGCACCAAACCTCCTGAAATACAAGAAAAACTGCCCTGTCAGTTTTATTTGTCTTCAGGCTAATCAATGGGGGATTAGCTATTATTTACTCCCCCAATAGCCTTGAGAAAGATCATTCTCACTACAAAGAAAAACCATTGCAACAGGTTTTAGAAGAATTAAGCTATTGTAGGAGACACTCCCATTAGGTTGCTATATACATCAGTATGTTTTGCGTAACACTGACAGCATTGACTGTTTTCTCCTTCAGGTCTTTATATTCATATAGTGAACACTAAGACTTCTTTCATCTCCAGAAAGTATTTTAAATGCAAAGAGTAGATACATGTTATCATGTTTTGTAATTATATTTTCAAACTGGAAAAATGTTGTATTCATGCATGTATAATTCTGAACTCATAACCCATATTCATGCTTTTACTAAACAGCAGCAAAACACTATATAGAGTATATAATTCAAATAATATACTGGAGTTATCACATTTATTGAATATATACTTACTATAAAATACACATCCAAACAACATACTCATGTAGATGCAAGATACCAAATTAATTTGTACATATTTTCTGTACTCCTGAATTTTACGTTTAAAACATAAAAATATGGTGTAAAAGATGATACATCTACTGTTTGAATCAATGTAGATGCATGGACAATGCATAACTCCCTAATCTGGCTACTGTAGATTTCTAAACTCTGGCTCATCGATGAAAAGAACTCTAGTGGATTTTGAGAGCTCTCCATTGACCAGTTCAATCATTTGTCTTGTTATGAAGAATGTAAAATCTGTATTTTGTCTGCACTGGAACTACCACCCTGACTATTGTAGCCTTTTACTCACTTTGTAATTATGCCTGTGATCCCATTATCCAGAATAACCAAACCCAAATTCCTTTGCATTCTTATTCATCCCAAATTACCAGTTACATTTTTTTGCATCACTTCAAAGCTCAAGAGATTGGCTAAGAAAATATTGCATTTTGTAAACCTTTCACGTTCAAGTGCTGTTTTAAAATGGATTTATTACTGATAATATATACAAGGACTACATTGTACCTTCACAGTAGTGTAATGAATTAATCTGATTTCCTGGTGATACAGTTCTGAACTGATGTACTTTTCTTATAACCAGTCAGTTGAGTCTTACGATTTTACCAACCGCCCTGAAGCAGAACTGAGCCTCGGAGAACAAACTGCACCCCAAAAGCGAAGAGAGGCTCACCTCTTAGCCAAATGGGTCCAGCGTGGCTGTCCTTGTAGAGTATGGCACTGTCCACCTGTGAGGTGTATGCCACATAGAAGATCATCCAGCTAGTGTTCAGGAGGAGGAGGAGTGTCAGGTAGATCTGGACATCGATCTGTGTGATGGCCACCTCGTTAAAGGCTCCCCCACTGACCAGCGCGCAGCCCAGGAACAAGATGTTGACTGTTATGAGGCACGAGATCAGCCTTCCGCGGTTCCGGCCTTTCTCTCTTGGGGGGCTACTGCTGGGGTTCTCTGGCAGGCTGGACGACCTCAGAGGATCCCCCACCACTGCCTGGTCCCTCATCACAGCCACCATAGTGTTAGGACACGGGCTGCCTTCATTCAATTCTCCCTCCATCTTCCGGCAGACGTCTGTGGGGAAGAAGAAATGGTGTCAGCATGCTGTCACAATCAGGCTGCCCACTACCTGAAGTGAGACAGCCAAATCCTTCACTTATTACCTTCTTCTGAGTTAACTTACTGTTTTTTTTCCAGAGCAGCTGGTAGCTGGCATTTTTCTGAAGATGGGGCATTGTAGCAAGTGAAGCTGGGGATGAGCTCACAAGCCTCATCTGCTGTGATGCATTTGCTTGATAACAGCTAAGGACTGCTAACGTCTCTTCCTCATTCCGAACATTTCCTATCTCGTGCTGGAATTTTAGTGTCCTGCTGATTCTAAATAAATTTACCATGTGCCCAAAGTGTTTCCATAATTCCATTTAAGAGTAATGCTCTGTGAAACATATGTTCAGTATATGATTTATAAATCATCTCTAATGCAATTTTTTTTCACAGAACTAACAACCAAAAAAAGGACTGCTTCTATTTTTTCTTTTTAGAAGCATAACTGCATATGAGTAGTTAACAGTCACATCTGCTTTTTATTAGATATCATGTCAGTGCATGAGAAAATATCGATAATTGTTTCTATTGACATTTTTATATTAAGAGATCCACAGAGCTTAGATAACGGTTCCTAGATAACCAAAGATTCAATAAATAATATTTTATTAAACATAAATCTGTAAATGTACTAGGTAAAAATTCTATGAATAATAACGGCGTATAGAGTGAGTCAAAATTCAAATATAATTTTATTTGATTCAAATATTTGCAAAGCAGCTTTAGCAAATTGAATGAGCAAGGAGTGAACACCCTTTAATTTATAGAACACTTTCAAAAGTCAATACAAAAGTCATGAACAAATTACAAATGGAAAAGAAAACACATAAATCACTGTTTGAAAAAAAAACATTTTAAAAGCAGGTGATGGTGGCGGCTCAAAGCCACAGAAGTACAGCAATCTACAGACCTGGGGCTGCAGGACGTCTTACTCACATTTGTAGGCAGACCTTAGATTCTAGAAGGAATCGCAATTTAAAATAGAATATGGCCAAGAGAAGGCGTCAGCAGCAAGTTAATTCAACATGAAGGGCCAGAGTCACTCATGTTGAAGTCAAATGAAAATATTAAAATGTCCTCTATGAGTACCCAACACAGAATCGCTGCAGGATAAGGAAGAAACACGCAACAGTCCTAAGCGAAGAAAGTTGTCAGTCTAAAAACGAATACTGCAGCATGTTCTCATTCAAGCAGATATGCTAAAGGTTCGGTAGATCTTGTTCTAGGTTTAGCAATATCAGCTGACACAGTGACTTCTACCTTAAAAGAAAGAAAATCTGCATTTTGTAATGCATTACAAACCTCCATTAGCCAATTAGTCCTCGAGGAAAAGAAACACATAGCAGCTCTGTGAGTTGTCTCAGATGCGAGGTACCGTCATATTTGCGAACCATATGGCACTATTTACCTTTTCAGAACTTTTGGAGGAAGTAACGTTGACTGATATATACGTAGAAATGGGCAAATTAAAATATGAATGAAAGTGTTACACCCAAACAGCCCTTGCTTAATCTGGAGCCCTGCTATCTGACCTGCTTCCTTTAACAAGAGGTGATAACACAGTTCAAGGTAAATGCACTCTTTTTCGAGCTTTTATTTTTGCCAGCCGAGGTGAGAGAATAAAAAAGTGTATATATTTAAGATAAAGGCTGGGCTGCCAAACAAACGCCCAGCAAGGCTCACTCTGTTTTTCTTTGGTCTGCTGTAACTTTCTGTTTAACTATTAGAATTTGATCATTCTTTTCCATCTGGCTAGTATATACGAATACACTCACATTAGCAAATGAGTAGTTGCTCATGTGGCCAGTGTAGCAAGGAAAAAATATACACATGCTACCCAGCAGGATTCTCTAAATCTGGTTCCAGAGAACAATGAAGTCTTCTGCTTTTCAATCCAATTGTTTTGCTGAACAAAATAATGGCCTTAATCCGACAAGATAAACATGATCTTTCATCAGTCATTGAAGACCTCATTCAATGACCTCAGGAGCAGGGCTGAATATAGGCTGCAGATTTCTGGTCAATCCTTTTTCAACAGTATTTTGCATTTGCCAGTGTTTGTTTCCGACATCACAATCAGTGGAATATTAGCCCATAAAAGAAGAGAAAGCAAAATTCAGAAACAGAATTCACCAGTCAAGGAAGAGTGCGGCTGATCTTACCTGATGGGTTAGTGGAGTTCCTCTTAGGTTGAAACTCCAGAATCAGTCATCAGCTTTATACCCATCTCCTGTCCCAGTGATTTACTGTCATTTATTTTTCTGTCACTGATTTACCAAATAAAGACATTCAACAGAACATCGTAAATTTAGATTTCTGCAATTCAACAAGCAAAAAAATCAAATATCTCATCAATAACTTATTGCCATTTGAGCCTGTTCATTTATTTAGATTCTAAAGGATAAGGATAATGATATAATAATAAAAGCATGCAGTTAGGCAAAAACTACCCACTCTCTGTCACTGAAGAACTGAACATGAGATCCTCTATGAAGTTGTCCCCCCATAACTGATAATATGTTTCTGTTTTTCTCAACAGCTATATACTTCTGTCAGACCTCTGTGATGCCTTACAATGAACCTTGGCCTTTTCTATACTTTTGTTTGAGCAGGTCTTTCTTTCAAGAGAGGAACAGGACACTTTTTTAATGAAAAGCCAAGGAAAATACATCAGAACGTGTATTTGTACATGCTACAGTTGAAGTGCATTGATTTTGTCATCTAAACGGCCACAAGATTCCAAAGTTACATTATTACTCAATGTTTTGTCGGCACTGCGTCTGCTGTGATGACACCAAAAGTATAAGATGTTGTGCTCAGTCTTATAGCCATGCCACTTCTGGTTATTGTATGCTTGTTCACCTGATAGCAGTAATATAATTCCATGTATTTAGGTCTCTGTAAAGTCTTTGTTTTCCAGAAATTTACTGAATGATTCTCATTTAAGAGATAATGTTCATGTTTCTGAATTGTAAATCCTACATCAGATTTCTGAATGAGTCATTCTGAGCAGCTTGGACAAAAGTAAAAACATGTACTTTCAGAAATAAAGGAATATTAATATGGATTTTACGATATCAATGTTTTCACAGCCAAATGAACAGCAGCATAGTAATTGGATGCACTGAACTACACTGGAATTATTTAACTTCCCAGTAGCTCTCATAGGCATTCATAATCACCAGAGAAGACTTTGAAACTGTACTATAAATATTATTATAAAATATAAATCACACACAGTTTTTTTTTTCCACAGGGCTGGCGATAGCAAACTTAGTTATTTTTAACTGTGAGAAATGGTCTCAGTTGAAAGGAGAAACAGATAATAAATTATTTATGGAGTGCCATAAAGAAAACTTCTAAAACAAGAAGGATAAGTTGCTCAGAGCATAATATGTAGGGGCATATTAAAATGTCTCATTATTTATTTCATTTCGGTGAATGTGAATTGAAACAAACTAATAAAACTTTACAACATGACAGTTTAAATTTAGTATACAGTATCTATAAATACACTTAGTTGATGTGCCTGCGATGCAAAATTATCAGTGCTAAATGATTTTGTGCAAACATTATTTTGAAGTTATGTAAAATCAGTAAAAGAAGACATATACAAGACTGACATCTAGTAAAATGTAAAACTGGCCACCTGTTTATCTCAATTACATATTTCAGATTAGTGCTTAAATGTATTACTGTACCTTCCTACTTTAATTGCTAAATATGCATACATATTTAAAACCACTAACAGTTCTACGAACATTTTATATTTAAAATATTTTATTTTATACATTGGGTTTGAAACATAAGTTAATAAATATATAAATATGATCAAATTCAACTCCTTATACATTTGACATTCATGATACTTTGAGGCTGTCTCTATTGTTAGGACCCAGGGGACTCTGCAAGGGTAATGCTTTCCTTAAACCACTCCCCGCTCCGCAAACGGCTCAGGTGTCCGTAGCAACCGGACAGGCTTCGCTCTTTCTAGCAGCTAGCCCGGGTAGAAAGAGACGGAGCCGCTGTCCCCACCCTCCTGCCGGATTGCCCCCTTCCGCATGGAGGGCTAGCTGCCCCCGGCTCCTGCTACCCGATGCTTGGATGTAAAGGTGGAGACGACAGGTTGGCATCATGACTGACAGATACCACAGAGCTGCCCGGGACGGCTATTTGGACTTACTGAAAGAGGCCACCAGGAAGGATCTTAACGCTCCGGACGAAGATGGAATGACACCCACTCTCTGGGCCGCCTATCACGGCAACCTTGAGGCGCTGCGGCTCATAGTGGGAAGAGGGTGAGTTGGAGGCATAAAGTTTCAAAACGCGGTCCTTCTCCAGGGTTTCATATGTGGCAACTACTGCACGCAGGTATTTAATTGGATAATCAACAGAACCGTGCAAGGCAACCCGCTCGGTTTTTTAAAATGCAGGTCTCCATCTGCCAAGTTCTGGTTGCATTGTTCGTGGAATGTTACATTGAAGAGCCATTTAATTTCAAACAGAATCGTTCCTGCAGGACGACACGCATTTAATGATGTGAAACTACTTTTGCCTAATAAAATAAGGTGAAGAGTGGCGGACTTTAAAATATAAGAGGCTAATATGGCTTTAGTTTTCAGATCTGTTGGACCCAGAAGCTTTCTTCTGTGTACGTATTGTTTTACTTGCACAAAATAGAATTTGCAAATATATGCATGATTTCATAAGTTACTTTTACATTAAAAGTATATTTAAAAAAAGTGTGAATTGGCTTCTCCCCAGGCGCAGGTGCATATGATCACCTCTGACCTGAAATGGGCTTATAATTGACTGATTGATTGTGGGAGTTACTGTGTGGTGCTGCAGCGTTTAGGTTTTAAGGGCTCAGGATAGCCGGGAGCCTTGGAATAAAGCTGACTTATGTGGCGTGCAAAAAAAGTCGTGTAATGAATGATGCTGTTTACATAATTAGGTCAACTCGTTGCAACGCGCATAAAGGGTCCGGACACCGCAGTGTGCCAGTGAAACTGAAAATATGAAACAGGAGAATACAGCCGATCGCTATCTGAGGGGTGCCTGTTGTTTGTTGTTATTCACGGAGAATGGTTCTCTCTCCCATTGTGGGGGTGTCGCCACAGGGTTGCGACTTGAGATGAGGCAGAGTCTTGACTTCTGCTTTGCAGAATCAGTCAGTCCACACCTATCCCATTGTCTTATAAACAAGAACTGCAAACCGTGAGGTGAATTTATTATTATTATTATTATTATTATTATTAGTAGTAGTAGTAGTAGTAGTAGTAGTAGTAACAATGATAAAAATGTTTCCTATTTTCTAAGTTGCTTGTCCAGAAAATTTGAAAAAAGGATAACAAAAATAAAGATTTTTTAAAAAACATCTCTATCCACAACTAAGATTACAGAGTCTAAATTATATTCTCTTAGATGGAAATCTTTTAACATGGTCTGACATGATACATAAAACATGTAACGGTGTCTTCTAACAACCCTCTGCCTTGTCTTATCTACACCTTGCAAATGCAATTGAGACATGTCTCGTCAGCTTAAACTGTGGGTTCACTCAAATGCTTTGTCCACACTTTACATCAGTCATTGTGATCACTTGTTACAGGGAGAACCGTATTTAGTCCTGAGGAGCCACAGTCAGTTTAAAGGTCAGTCATGATTCATCAGTTCTTAAAGATGAGGAACAGTTTCATCTTGAGCAGTGAAATACTTCATTTGTTCATATGAAGATTTTTTAGATAATTATGTATGTAAGTCTTAGCTCTGTGCAGATTTTGGAAAACAGAGTTGCCTACTACTGGCATAATATTTTTTAACCTTTGCTTAACTGATCAAAAAAAGTTTGTTTCCTGTTTTTAAAGTTACTTGTTGGCCTAAATTGTACATTTCCAACACATAAGAAAAAAAAAAGCACCATTCTTTTTACCTGCTCATCATCTCAATCAGGGTATCCCCTCTGCCGTTTTTGATTACATTTGATAATTTTAAGATCTGAGCATATGAATGACGTCCAGCTTTCCATCTGCATCTTGTAGATTACTTGTGTGTCATTAAGTCATAATCCCCTGTTGATGACCTCAGAATGCACCTTGCCATAATTGATGACATCACTAGTTGACAAACCTACAAGTATGCAAACTGTGACTGATTGACCCTAGGCTTCGCTAAATGGCACATCAAAAACAATTACTATGTACTGAAATCATTGTGTTAAGCAGTGACTCATGTTGATATTTAAAGTTTTGGTCTTATAAAATAAAATGATCAAAAAGTCCACCCTCAGTATTGGGGCACAGTTCAATTTGTGTAAGAAATCAGTAGAAAGCTAAAACAAAAAAGTTCTGAGTTTTATAACAAAACCTATACTGGCATCATCATGAAACAGGCTTTGAAACAACTGGCACGAGTGCCAGTGGTTTCTTGCACCATGACACTTTCCCCAGTGAACTGAGAACAGGTGTTGAGAAATGCTGATTGGAAAAGGTCATGCTCAGGTGATCACACACAGAAAGGACTAAGGCACTAAGACCAACCTTACACAAGCAACAAGCAACAGTGTTTTTTAATAAGAGGAAAAAAGGTAAAGTGTACAGTGATCTCAGACAGGGAATAACTAGGATATTTTTCATGTCCGTTTTTCCAAGAGGCCTACTTCTGATAATATGTAAGCAGCTCTTAAATAATAAGAATAATTTCATTTAAGTTTGTGGATCTGTGCTACAGTTTAACATGTGACCAGGTGTTTTCACCAATGGGTACATTCTTGTGAAGTACTGCATATCGTATGGCTTGTTTTCTTATTTTTTGTGTTGAAAATTGTTCAGCTCTTTAAGACACTTGTCAGGTTATGTAGGGCTCCCAGAAAATTAAATGTATTCACAGACTGAAGAGAAGTGAATCGTGTCATCCCTGAGCAAAAGGTGGTAATGGTGTTTTTATCTTTTCAACATCATTCTTCAGTGTAAGGGTTTTTGCTTAAAATTTAAAATTCATTTTTTAGTGTTTTAATCTGGACCTTAGCTTGAGTACATCTTACAATTTCACATTTTTGGCTTCCTGGTCTAAGTGATTTATGGATCACTTAAAGTCCAATATTGTTCCTCTTCAAAACAGAACAGTGTTGTACTGTTTTTGTAATCATATTTCTATTTTGGGGTATCTTTAGGCATTAGTGATATATGGATATATGGAGGCTTTTGTAGATTTTTTTTATAGATACAGAAACAGTACCCGTGAGACAGACAGAGAGAGGGGTGATGATTTAATCGCTGGGTTGGCAGTTTTATAGCAGGTAGTATATAGTGTTGTCCAATTAAGTTGTAGACAGGAGGGAAGGCTGAATACATTTTCTCAGAAGGAAGTTAAAGGTCAGGATGACAGATTGATGAGCTTTGCCTATATGAGCCTGCTTCTCTTTTAAATCTGCCATGTCCTTGTTGCAGATTGGGAGTTGATCCATCCAGGCATTTTCTACCCTCTTGGCTTGGTATTTCTTAAAAATGCTTTTGATATAAACAGCTATTAAGAAATCAGTTCTTAAGAAACATAAAGCATTAAGTGCCTGTGTGAAGGGTGGAAAGCAGAAATCATGGCTTTTGATGTTTGATGCATATTTTAATCATTTTGAAAGAAAATTAACATGTACCGTAGATTGAGCTTTTTATTTACTGTAGATAGTTGACGGGGTTGTCAGTACTGTAGGACTGACGGGGTTGGAAGTGTGAGATTACCCTGGGGAAAACTGTCCTTCTATGATACACAAAGAGGTTTTGCGATCTTAGATTCTGGTCTGTCCACCTTAACAGATGGGAAACCCAAATCAGTCCAGGGGCAGGAGGGTGCAATCAGGGAGGTGTTAGTACTGGGTCTGGTGTCAGCATTAACAACACCGTGCCTCTCTGCTCCCTGTTAAAACTGTCAACTTGTGCCATCAATGATTCATTTCCCCCTCTGCGACATTTCACCTGCAACTAATGAAATATTGATCAAGTCCAAGACATGGCCTGGAAGGGTAGGATCAGGGCGGAAAGGGAAGGGGCAGTTCCTTTTGGAAAAGGAAAGCCAATCTTATTCTTGGATTTTGTGTTACATGAAACTTTTTCTCTGTGACACTGTGCAGTGTTTAGTGTTTACCCCTGTTAATTTTAAATAACTCTTACTTTGGCCAAAAGAACTGTGATGTCATACAGAGTGACAACATTTTTTACACAGCTTGTCTCGAGAGCTCCTTGACGTTTTTTAAAAGAGATTCCTATATTGGATAAAGTGCTTCGAAAATGGATGGGTGGATTTTTTTTCATTTAAAAAAAAGTTCCTTAAAGACCCAGCAGGATGAATAACTATACTCTGATTCATGATTCACCAGATTTTAATTTATTTTTTTTCCTTCCCTCCACACTAATGCCAGAAACACTAAGATTTTCCCCTTCAGTTGTATCTTATCTCATTTGTCCTGGGAAATTCCTGGGAATTGTTTCCCTGGAACATTAAATCTAAACTGTCTTTTGGAATGACTGTAAAGACAATTCAGGTTTGCTGCTCCCTGTATTGTTTTCTTAGTTTTGTGGTCATAGTGCCGCACATGAAGAACAGCTTTCAGAGTCAGTTTCTTTGTTCACAAAGAGTTCTTTGTCCTTTAACTGAGCACAATGCTGATTTTCATTGCTTCTTAGTGGGTAATGTAATGTCATTGAATTTGAAAGTGCCCTTTCTTGTGTGCATTGGCAATAAAGAGATAACAGAGTATGTTTTATTTTAATTGTTACATGATGTTGCAACCTCTGGAATTTAATTTGCAATTAGAGCTGATGAAGAAGGAGGAAGATTTTTGGGACGGTGAATTGCTTTTTATAAAAGAATAGTGTTCTTTACATTAAAAAGGTTGGATAACAATAATTCTGCACTCCTAACCTAGTGCTGTAAGGAGTCCTGGCAAATGCTTTTTAAAATGGAGTTTTTGCCCTTGTTTTTCAGATCAGAAACATACAAGGGTGGTGAAGTCTTTAGTACAACAGATACCTAAAGTTAAACTCAGCAATGTTAAAGCCTTACAGTGCCCTGCCTGGCTTAATTGCTCACTTCTTCGTCCCTGATCTGTAGAGCTCTAATATTGTTTTTTAAATGAAATATCCATCGATGTCCATGCAGTGTCAACCTCCCTGTGATTCAGTGGAACATTATTGTGAGAACTGGCCCACATGACACACAGCATCACCAGTGAGAAAGGCAGTAATGTAATCAGTCCAGTCTGAAATGTGAGATGTTAAGGTAGATTTATGTTACCCATAACTCTGCACAGCGTAGTAAAGTAATCTAATGATGCAGCAGGGGCAGACCTTGGGTCATGCACTGGTGACAGGGAAGTGACACACAGGGCCTAACAATAAAACATAAAATTTGCTCATTCATTTAAACAAAGGTACAGATTGAGTTATTGTTTATGTATATGCAGAAAGAGGTATATATAAAGGCTGCCAGGGAGTTAAAAGCTTTGAGGATTATCCTGTAAACTCACTGTGTTCTCTTTTGGGAACACTACAGGGGAGATCCGGACAAATGTGACATCTGGGGGAACACGCCTCTCCACCTGGCGGCGGCCAACGGGCACCTAAACTGCCTGTCCTTCTTGGTGTCGTTCGGTGCCAACGTGTGGTGCCTAGACAATGACTACCACACACCGCTGGACATGGCCGCCATGAAGAGCCACATGGACTGCGTGCGCTACCTGGACTCCATCGCTGCCAAACAAACCAGCCTCAACCCCAAGCTGGTGAGCAAACTGAAGGACCGGGCGTTCCGCGAGGCCGAGCGGCGGATCAAGGAGTGCGTGAAGATGCAGAGGAAGCACCACCAGCGCATGGAGAAGAAGTACCAAAAGGAGGCCTCGGACGCGTCCGACGCCATGAGCTTCTCCAGCTACTCCAGCAGCACCATGAGCCGGAAGCTGCAGCACCTCAACCTGGTTCCCACCTCCATGCCATACTCCCAGGTGCGGGCCTGGCTCTCTGCTGAGCCTCTGAGTGCATTAATGGGGGAACAGATCAATAAACGCCCCAGCCCCTACCCGTTCAACACTTTATGGGTCTGATGGGTTATGGTTTCCTTTATGCCCTAACTTTATTCACATGTACTTCATTCCCCCTTTTGAGCTTCAATACCTTTATCATTCCTGCCTATAGTGGCATTAACGTTTATGTTAGAGATATCATAATTTTTGTAAAATCTAAAAATATATTTTAAAAAAATGAATATCTGTTAGAGACAAAATCAGTTTAATTTATTTTTCTTTACTTTGACGTGCTGGCGAGTTGTTGATTGATTACTTCATAGCGATTCGTGAGTAGGTGTTCCAGACACTTGAATCTGCACTTCATGTTCTCGGGTCAGGAGTTTACTCAGGTCTGCGTGGGGTTCTAGTATTTTCTACTGGATTCTAAACCCTGGTTTTTAATTGTGCTGACTTTATCTCTTTTTCTTGTGAACTTTGTGATTCTCCCTCCCCCCTTCTTACTGTAAAGTGCTTTGAGAAGCTACTTTTAAAACTTTTATCAAATAAACTTTATTATCAGATGTAGGCCTCAGCCCTGAAATTTGTTTGCACCTCTTGCATTGTTTTGTTTCTCATGTTAACATCACCAGATGATTTCATTGACAGAAGATCACTGCCTTTCTAATGCAGTAAGGGGGGCAAATAATTATCCCATTGATGTCCCCCAGGCCACCCTTCATGCAACTGCCAAGGGCAAAACCAAGATCCAGAAGAAGCTGGAGAAGAAGAAGCAGGGGGACGGCACCTTCAAGATCTACGAGGACGGGCGGAAGAGCGTGCGCTCTCTGTCCGGTGTGCAGCTGGGCAGCGACGTCATGTTCGTCAGGCAAGGCACCTATGCCAGCCCTAAGGACAGGACTCGGCGCAACATCAGGGACATGTTCCCCAGTGACGATGACGCTGTCTCGCGTGCCATAAGTGACCCAGGGCTGCACCTGGACTCCGCCTACTCCGAGGTCAGCACGGACTCGGGGCATGACTCCCTCTTCAACCGGCCAGGGCTGGGCACCATGGTGTTCCGGCGGAACTACGTCAGCGGGGGCTTGTTCGGTATCGGGCGGGACGACGCCAGCGTGGCTGGCAGCGATCTGGAGGGCCGCATGGGCAACGTGCGGCTCCGCAGCCGTCTGCAGCGTGCCCCGAGCCTCACCGACAGCATCGGCAGTGCCAACAGCCTGCAGGAGCGCCACGCGGAGGAGCTGCCCTGGGACGACGTGGAGCTGGGGCTGTACGACGACGACGAGCCGGAAACCAGCCCCTTGGAGACCTTCCTGGCCACCCAGGGCATGTCGGAGTTCATCCCCGTCTTCAAGAGGGAGAAGATAGACCTGGAGGCCCTGATGCTGTGCTCTGATCAGGACCTCAAGAGTATCAACATCCCGCTCGGGCCCAGGAAGAAGATCTTGGAGTCCTGCAAGCGCCGGAGAGAGACCATCGATGATCCTGATTTTATTGAGGACACAGAGCTGTGAGTCACTGAATGCATCGCATGTTTTGTCTTTCTATGCACTTTTGTTCATCTAACACATATTTCAGACATGCCTTAGACTTTTGGTAGGTGAGGTTCTTTAATTTTTGATGATTGTTTTCCACACATAGTAATTCAGAATATTCAGAGCACATTTGGCTATTAAGTTTCAAACCTTTAGAGTACTTTAGTCCTTCCCATGAATTCATTATTCAGTTTATCCTTAATTTCTTAATTAATCTGGGTGCTAATGATCACTTTGATAATTAAGGTCTAGCTGCAGAAAAGGAAATGAAATGGAATGAAAGTGCCATGTCTGACTGATTTACAGTCTACATGTGCGCCCCTACTCATAAAACAATGCCAAACACTGCCCTCTGCTGGTCATGGTGGTGTTGAACAGTTAAACTTGTCCTTGATGAACTGTAACTGTCCTTTCACAGTTACAGTTAAAAGATACAGTTAAATGAAATGTAATTGACCATTTCTGACAATCAAAAAAGAAAGTGAAACTGGAGAAATGTAAGTTTACAGGAAGTGACGTCCAATGTTTTTTTAATCATTTCAGCTTTGAATTCATAGCTGTTCCCGAAATCTTACGGCAAATGGGAAATGGGAAACAAGTTTCAAATAAGCAAAGAAGATTTGAGTACTCACTGATTTTGTTTTAGGAAAGAATCAGCATGTGACAGCTTGTTTCTAACCCTAGTAAGGTTTTAAAAGCCGAGGTCACTGTGTTACTGTGAGCTGATGTTATACAAGCACAGGTAAGGGAATCTCGTGGGCCAATTACCTCAATGGAAGATGAGCTGAGTGTAGAAGAGGTCTGTCAGCACACAGTGCTTAGTAAACATGTCAGGGTGTTTCACCAGCTGCTCCTTCTTCAAGGCTGAATTACTGTATAAAATACTGTAGAAATCAAGGATTTCATGTGAAAATTAAAAATTTGCACTGTAGAAGACTTGACAAGAATCCCACAATGACATCAGTGGTCTGCATTTCACAATCACTGTCTTAGCTTTAGGTTTGATGTACTAATGTAAATGTGATATTCTTGCGCTTGTGTTGTGTCATGGAAATATAACTATCAAGGAAGCCACAAGAGAGAGTTCTCACCTGAGTAAAGTCTTTATTTCAATATTGCAATATTGGGAGCCCTGCTGCCACTTCGCAAAGTGCAACCAGAGACTCAATTTGTTACAAGCAGTACAGGGTTTTTATAAGACGTTGCGCTGTAAAAAAGCTCAGTGCTTTGCTCCTTCTAAAACTTCCCCTTTCCCTAAGACAAAACAGATTACATCATAGAGCGAGAGAAGAAGCACTAGATTTGTTTTTCAAAGCTAATCGGTTACTTTCAGCTAATTCTAACGACCCAGACAGCATATATTGTTTTGGTACATTGTCTTCTAAAGTAACCTAAACAGTGTACTTTGTTGACGCACTGTTTTCTAAAATTCTGCACGTACTGTAGCACAGCAATTACATCCTTGAAATATATTATTTAAAAGCACCAATATATTTTTTGCAAAGCTGTCTACATTTTAAGAATCAATTTACTTATTAGATTTCCACTTCAGTTGACAAGGAAAGCTAATCGTTTTTATCACTGGTGACGACAGTCCACGCAGTGTGTATGGTGGGGTGCAGATTCGGACATGATAAATGAAAGGGGAGGCATCCAAAGACACTTCATGGTTTTGCCAGCTTGCTTGCTTTCTCAAAGGGGGCTCGTGTCTTTCCCTGTTGATTTCTAGGTGTGGGAGAAGGGCCCTGGGGAAGATTTTTGGGAGTCACCGTTTTTCTGGCCACTCCCGTCACATTCCTTTGGGATTGCCACTGGTTTTACCTTTTTGAATTGAACTGTACTAGACGTTTGTTAAGCTAGTTGGCCTTTTCAAAGTGGTGCGTTGTTGTAACTGTGCCCCACAGAGTGATTGGTACACATACAAACGGCGCTGTGAGGAACAGGCTGCAGTGGGCAGCAGCAGTGCCCATTCATCCATCGTCTAGTCTCTTTATCCAGTGCAGGGTGATGGGGGAGCTGGAGCCTGTCCCAGCAGGCAACCGGCGCAAGGCAGGGTAGATCCTAGATGGAATTATCAGTCCATCACAGGACACACACAGACACTCACTTTCCAGAAGCCAGTTAAACAACCATTACGTCTATATGGGAGTATGGGAGGAAGCCCTGAGCAATCAGGGAAGACCCTCACAAAAATGAGGAGAACATATTCCACCCAGATAGCATCCCAGGAACTGAACCATGCTGCCCTGCAGTGCACATTAAAAGGCCTTACAGTGTACCTGCTCAAGCCTTTCACATTCTCTGTTCTACACCAGTGGCTTCTCGGTGGTCCAACTATCTTGATAGACATCCTTTATAGTTTGTTTGTGCTTTCAGAGGTTGGCACTAGAATGATATTAACATTCTTTTTCATTTTCAGATGACAAAGAAGACTGCAAATGGGAAGAAGTGGAAAGCTACCACGCAGAAGACATCAAACCAGGCTTCCTGTGTGCTCATCTTACCAAGAGTTGGCTGATCGATCCTTTGAGACCGGAACCCACAGGAGTAACTCCGTGGTGTCAGGGTCAGGCGTCAGGTGGTCTGTTCCTTTCTGGCTGGCTGATCCTCTCTGCTTCTGCACACACTGGTCTCTGGGAACTGGAAGAGAAAAACCACTGCTTACAAGTGCAGAAGAAGAGTAACGTCCCAGTGCACAGAAACGTTTTGCATGAAGGTTTATCAATGGACGTCTTGAAAGAGATGATACGTTTACATGGAAAATCAATTTTTCACGTTTGTGACTGTGCAATGTGTTAAGTGTACTAAGAACAGTATATGTTGTTGTAATAAAGTGCATTGCACCGTGACAGTGCGTTACAGTACATCCTGCAGGGACACTGACTGCTGACTATGAACTGTCATCTAGAATGAGTCCTAATTCCAGGAGCAGCAGATAGCCCTGATAATTTGCCCCTGTGGGGTATGTCCCTTTACCTCCATGTGCCTGTGCCCTAGACAGTCGTATCACTGGGAATTTAATTATTTATGAATGTATATTTATTTAAATGTATGCAGTTATTATTTTTCCTCACTTTACAGCTGGAATATCACTGAAGACTTATTTTCTTCTGATGCAGACAGAATGTATTCACGTGCCTGGAATATGAAGATCACTGGACTATTTTTCATTACAAACATTTCTGCCAATTTCCTCTCTCTCTCCCTTCTGAATAATACATCACTGGTTTGGAGATGAATGCCAGGGAGAAGACATGGCTTTGTAGCATTGCATTGTGCCCTCTTGTAGCAGTATATTAAGGTACCTACCTGCTGCCCAGTTTCGTAATTACTGTCAGGCTGTAATTAGAACAAACACCTGCAGACTCACAACAATACAAAAGCTTATTAGTCTGCAAATGACAGTTGAATTAAGAGGTGGTTTATTGAATCTGTTATCTCCTTGTGCTCTCATGTTAGTGCCTAATGAAGAGCACAGGCACATATTTATATAGGAGAGGCAATCTGCAGACGTGTCATCTCCAAAATCTCTTTTTCCAATGGTTCGTTTCTGGGAATACGGTAACAGGTGTTTGTTACTGTTATGCTTCATTTCTCCCCTTGAACATGTCAATGCATCAGTTCATTGTTTACCAGCATGCACAGGAATTGTTATTTTTGTCCTTTGGGCAATATTCAGAAAAATGTAATATAAATAATCAGTAAAATAAGATAATGTGCATGGATTTGTATGTTCTACCAGTTCACTTGTTAACGTAAATACCTTGTGTCCTCTGACTGGACACATTTTATTTCAGTCTTTCTGAAGCTGTAAAATGATCTTTAGATGTATCCTTTTTGCATGTAGTTTTTTATTTTCTTCTCTCTTGCATTCAGTAACTGTACTGTATCCATCACCTTGTCATTTGTACATTTTGTAAATTTATTAGATGTAATATCACACTGCGCAGTCTACAGTCTTCCATTTGTAGGTGGAATATATGTTTTACATTTTACTTTATTGATGTTGTATATACAGCAACTCCTGGAAAAAAATGCCTGGAATAAATCAACATACAACTTTTCAATGGAATTTGTTATTTTCATAAAAAATAACCTTTGGATTTGTCTTTGCTGGTGCTGGTCACGCTGCTGGTGCTCTCTGATGCATTAATGCTTTGTAATTCCTTTTGCTTAAAGAGAATGATAGTCTTGGGAACCTTCTGTTCCAGATCCTTTTGACTCCTTGGTTGCTGGAAAAAGGAGTAATAGATTTTAAAGGATGTAAAATGATATACTTAACTTCTGACCAGGAAACAGGATCCTTTCACACGGTAAAGACACTCTCTTCCTCTCCCTGCCTAAGCCCGTGTCTCTGAGTACCACATGAGCGAAGCTACAAAACTTGATATCTTACATCAATGCTGTGGCTTTTTTTAGGTCTTTCCAGCCTGTGTTGCTTAAGACCCACGGAGCTCTGTTAGGTCTTGATAAAAGCTGCTTTCTGTTTTTTCTTCTTTCCTGCGCACTTTTCTTTTCTTGCAGTTTTTCTGTCAGGATAAAAGCTGTCTCGGCACATCCAGCTTCCATTGACATCCCCCTCGGTTCCCCCCTCCTCCTTTCAGTCCTTTCCCAGGACCTCTGCCAAGGGGAAAGAAAAGGACGCGGATGTATGGGGAGCGCTGCCGCAGAAAAGGATTGATTAGCCGCTGCGGTATGAAACAAGGGCTGCCAGGCTCTCTCTAGGGTGGCTAGCCAAAAGCAGCTCCAGTCTGGGCTGGCAGGATCGCAGCTGGACAGGTCTGCATGATTTTTCTGCTTGCCTGAAATCAGCACGAAGAGGACGAAGCTGGCTGGATCCCTTGGGACAGTACAGTAACGGGGAGTGTCCTGCAGCTCAGAAAGTGCAGCGTGGAGGAGAGTAGAATACAGAAAATTGCCGTGTGCTCTGCATGAGGCTCAGGGTATGAGCGTGTGTTAGACAATTGGTCCTATTGCTTGTTTTGTTTTTGTGGTTGCATTCTATTCCTGTTGTGAGGGCTCTGCCCTGAAACCTTCTCTTTCTTGACTTTGCTTTTTAACTTGCCATCACCTCTCTCTGCAGCATTTGGCTCTGAAGAGTGTCGCAAGACAGAATGACGAGCGAGCCAGGGAGGTGTGTGGGAGGACACAGGGGAGAAGAAAGGGATCCAGGCTGGAAAAGCTGGGAAGAAGAGCCCTCATCCCAGCTGGATCTCCCAGGAAATGAGTGGCAGCTGAAAGACACAGGGGTGGTCAGCTTGGAGGCTGTTGGTCAAGACTCTCCTGTTACAAATGAGACCAGACTTAAGACAGGAGGTGCTGCTGGCAGGAAGGCAGCTGTGGTGCAGAAGAAAGGGACAGAGGAGACGGAGAGGGATAGTCTGATGATGGAGCTGACCGGGCTGGTACAGAAAGTTGTCAGAGAGAGCAGCTGGTGGGAGAGACAGGGCATTGACTGCTCCATCCTTCTCTCTGCTTTCCTCTCCTTGCCTGCAGGTAAGATCCTGGTTATGCTGCTTAGAATGCCAACAAAAATCTTGGATTTCTTCACATCCTTATTTTATTAGATAATTTAATTAGCCTGCCAGCTGATTACATTTTCTCCTGTCTTGCAATTCTGCTTTGACTGAGCAAATCTTATAACACAAGCTTCTGGTTTAATAAAGTTCTGTGCAGTGTGAGGTCAGCCGTAATGAAATGCCATGCCACCTTAGCGCAAAGTAATCCCATTTAAAGACTTCAAAACTAAAACCCAACTGATTAACTGTGCTCTTTCTGTTTCTGTTTTCCCAAGTGTCCAGAATGAAAACTTGCTGATCTGCAGCTGTACTGAACAATAGAATTTATTCATTATTGTACAATTTTTTTCAGGTTGTGCAAAACATTACAATTACATTTTCTGGCATTTGGCCACACGTATCCATGCCACGTCAGATTTACATATATATATATATTGTCACGTTGGTTCTTAAGCCGAGAGAATTTAAAATATTTTCACTTGTGATTTTGAAAGAACTGGAAGGAGACCAGAAGCCACTTTTATAACGTTTGCATTTAATCTCTTCTAATGCAATCGTTGTGCAGTGCAGTGTTTTAGCCACATTTCAAAGGGTTATTTGGTGACCCTTTCTTCAGCTGGTACAGTGATTGGCAGCCAGACAACAGAGCTGTGAGCTGTGAAAACAGAAAAAGGGTGTAAAGTCTTCACCCCAACTCCTCAGCTACACAGATACTGCTAGTTCATCTAGATTGCTAAATGGCTAATTGGCTGTGTAATTGATGTCTTTTATGTGGTTTGTCTGACTTCAACAGTCCCATGAGTTTGCCTGACTCTTTTATAATATGTGTCCATTTACAATTCCATGTGAAACCTTTGATACTATTTCAGTACAGAAACCGTGCAAAGCCTTTTCTTAGTCAGTGATAGTAGTTCCCTCACAGTGGAAGATCTGGAAGTTTGAACTTTTTCCCATTCTAGTATAAAAAGGGTTAGGCAACTCCACACCTGTTATTGATTCACTTTTTTTCTGTCTTTCCCTTTAGGGTTCCTGTTGTTGGGCTCTTCTCAGGCCTTGGTTTTTGCAATGGGAGTGTTGCTCATGGGGACTGCACATGCTATCATCACTGTTAAGGGGACTCATCTGGCCAGCCACGGGGCTTTAAGCGAGTCCCGGGCTTGGGGAGGGTTCTGGGCCGTGTTCTTCATTGAGGTTAAAACTATTGCTTTTTGTCTTTTTAATTTTGCCAAATTAAACTGTTCTTTGCATTTCTACTCCCGATCTACTGCTTTTGTCATGATAAGAAACTGAGATTTAGATGAAAAGACACTCATAGATCTTTTGCAACCAACACGCTTACTTATTGTTTGTTTCATAAATAAACTATGTTGGTATTGAGATCTGTTACATTTTTTAGTGTAGTCCAGTGTATTCAGTAATGCAGATAACTGGATATACAGGTGTTTTTATCAAGTCAGTAATAGATTAGTAAATGCTCGTTAATATATTGCTCATCCCAATGAACCGAAATTCCTCGAATGTAAACACCAAGTTTAAAAGTACACTGACCGGAAAAAGCACAGGAGACAAAATGGAATGATACCAAGAACTATTTATTTAACCTTTTTAGATCAGTTACTCTTTGCTTCTGTTACCTGGAGAGATAAAAGTGTCATACACAATTGCCTACAAGTAAGATGTCTAGACCATGTAATTATTTTACTGTTTAAATACATTTCTACTACTGACACCACTGCTGTCTTTTTTAATGTTTCCTTCCCAGGTACAGTAAACGTGATAGAAGGGTTAACTGAAGAAAGATTAGGTTACAGTACTTCTCCAGGTTGCTACTTCCCCTGCTTGACAGGAACATAAAAATAATCTACAAACCACAGTAACGAGATTATCTGGAATAGAGTCTTGATAAAGCATTTAGAGTTAATGGGCCTCTGCAAGGAAATTACAAAAAGAGAAAGCAGAAGCAAAGGAGAGGAGACCAGTTAAAAAGTGGCTCAGTTCAAACAGCGCAATTTAAGGTACTGTCTGTCACCTCAGGTGTGCGGGTCATTCCCTGCCAAGGCTGGTATCGAGGCTCACGTCAAGCTCCACCATGCCCACACCAATGTGATTGGCTTGGGAGACTCCAGCACCTGGCGCATTCCTTTCCTGCCCAGATACGTCTACCTGTTCCTGGCTCCTCTGGCAGTGCCCGTCCTCACCCCTCTAGTCGCTCTAGGTATGAACCTGGGGCTGACGTTGGGTCTGTGAAGCAGCATTTTATAAAAAAACACAGCCTCTGAACAATTCTCCATAGGATATGTGCAGGCTATAAAGCTGTCTACAGTGAGGTAGGTGGCATTTCAGTTAGAAGATAAGTAAAGTGTTAAAGGTGTAATGTAAGCTTTTTAAAAGACAGCATGAATTGTGGTTCTTGATCAGAAGCAGATTAGCAGCTTTGATGTGAGTTCTGACTCTAGACTATTCAAGACATTTCCTATTACTAGTGGTTTGATATTACGAATAGAATATCTAGCAAGAAAAGTAAAAATCAATCGAGATGGAGCTGGCCATTGAACCAATATCCTTCACCCTGTTCCAGCTTCTTCCAGTCTCCTCCTGCAGCAAATCAATCTGCCATGTTGACAAACTGCATCTGAATGACCCCTTCCTGCCACAGCGCAGTACATGTGTTCCACATGTTAACTGATGTGTGTGCTGCTGCAGGTCTGCTGAAAGAGCACGCTCCAGGCCTTGCGCTGAGGACAGGGTGCTTGATGGCTCTGGGGCTGTACTCTCAGTACTGGCTGCTCCTCCACATCTCCGGCTTCCAGTCCTCCGGCTCCGCTCTGCTGTGCATGCTGCTCTGCAGGGCTCTCTTCTCCCTGCCGTACATCCATGTCAACATCTTCCAGGTAAGGCCGCTGCTCCCAGCTTTCACAGCATGTGTGTGCAGCACCTGGACTGTGGCAAGCACTCCACTGAGGTCAGGCTTCTTAGAGCACAGGGCGAGATGTCACCTTAATAACAATAATAATGTGCAGCCCCCACCTGGATGATGTGACGGCAGCCTTAGTGCACCAGTACACTCACCACACATCAGCTATCAGTGGGGAGGAGAGCAGAGTAATGAAGCTGATTCATAGATGGGGATTATTAGGAGGCCATGACTGGTAACGGCCAGGGGGGAAATGTGGCCAGGATTCTGGTGTTACACTCCTACTCTTTTTGAGAAATGCCCTGGGATTTTTAATGACTACAGAGAGTCAGGACCTTGGTTTTACGTCTCATCCAAGGGACGGCACCTTTTTTTTTTCTATAGTTTAGTGTCCCTGTCACTATAATGGGGCATTAGGACCCACACAGATAATAGAGTGATCACACTCTATAACACATGGACTTATTCTTCCCTTTGGATTGTAAAATGCAAAACGTCATATTTATTACACTGCCTGTAATGGCTTTCAGTCAGGGGTGTAGTATGTTATACATTTGTATTTCAGAAGGACATTTAAGGGTAAGAAGCCAAGTCAAATGTTTCAGGCTTTGGCTAATGGCAGTACCTTCTGTTTCCATAAAGTGTGCAATGAATTAGAGCCATTCTCTGTTCAGTCTGAGCCGGACTAAAAGGCAGGTTAATGTCTGGATACTGTGTAAAACGTGAGACAAAATGCAATATTCTGGTAGAGGCCCTGGTTTGAATGGCTGAGTGTTAATATTTAAGTATCAATTTCTTGCCCCTTTGGCCTTAAGCATTTCTAAGGACTTCATTCTTCATCACGCTCTGAATAAAAGTTCCATTGTAGCTTGTGATCGTGTGAATGTCATGTGTGTTTTGTTTAGTCTTTGAAAAGAAAGAATTTTCTCATTTTAATTTGCATGACAAAAGTCTAGTCTTAAAACGAGGCACAATAACAAATTGTCTGCATGCTGGACATTTTTACTGTTTAGTTATTTTATTGTACTAAGTTATTGTTAAGTGTGAGTCATTTGAAAACGTAAATCTTCAGTAAAGCTATCTTTGTGAAATAATGTCTTATGCATAATAAAAAATGACATTTGTACCTTACTCCAGTGACATATACTGTATACTGCATGTGATGAAACAAGGGCATAAAACGATGTTTCTCTTATTAAAAAAAGACACCTCTTATTTTCGGTACTAAATGTTTTGGGTTTTGGGAAATTTCCAGACTGTTTTTGGTTGCAGCTTAGTCTGAGACCACTTTGACACAATTCTATTACATTGAAGGAACGTTTTTCCCTTTTTGTTTTCCTTCTGTTCACTGGATTAAGGCAGTAGCTGTCAAATACCTGTTCTTCAAAACTGAATAGCACATCCAGAGATTTGCTGAGCAATGATCAATTATTTCTTAATTTTTGCCATCAATGGAAAAAGCCACCTGCATTAGAAAGGTCCTGACAGTTGAGTAGTAGCTCATTTCAGTTACATTAATAATTTATTTTTCCTATTTTTTTGTAAAAGCAAATTTATTGCAGATTTATCTGGACCCGGTGGCTTTTGGGAATAGATGCTGCAGAGCTATAATCCCCTGACCAAAGTAAAAATAAAGAGCTTTGATCAAATACGGACGGGATGATGTTTCGCGCTCAGTCTGAGAGCCAGAAACCCTGTTGACACTGTTGTTGTTGGCAGGTCATTCCTGTTCTGCTTGCCCTTTCCAGGTCACTAGAGCAAACCTAGAGTAACCCTTCCAGCGGTGGCACATCCAGGTTTTTCAGCTCTCCTGGGCAAAGTAATTCCACTTGACCAGATAAGCCCCCAGACGGCTGGTTCATGTCACTGACCCAGTCCATGTGTGTGATGAGCAGCGGTGCTGTTTATGATCAGTCTCATCACAGGGGACAGCAGTGTGGAGCCAGGAGTTAGGGGTTCTGGAAACTGGTAACTGGAAAGTTAAGGGTTCGTATCCCAGGCGAGATACTGCTATTGTGACCTTGGCCAAGACACTTCAGCTGAATGATTACAGAAAAACACCCAGCTGTGTAAATGAGTGCGAAAGTAAGTTGCTTTGGATAAAAGTGTGAGTCGAATGCATGGGCCACTCGCACATGGCTTTAAAGCCACCTCTGGCCCTCTCCAGTAACTTGGTCTCCCCTCTCCATGCCTCGTCTTGCAGCACATTGGCCTGGCTATGTTCTCCCCACACCGCAGGCCGAAGAGGATCTACCAGATGACACACGGGGTTCTCAATCTGCCCCGGAACCCACTGCTGGACTGGACGTTCGGTCACTCCCTCATCAACTGCCACGTGGAGCACCACCTCTTCCCCTTCCTCTCCGACCACATGTGTCTAAAGGTGTGTCGGGCTGCGTATTCCTTCCTCTCCCTACAATTCATCCATGTACCCGGAGATGTCCGTGGCAAAGGAGAAGCTGATGCACGTTAGCTCAGAACGAATGCTTCCACCTAACTTCCTTTTCAGTCCGTGAGTCCAGATCCAAAGTTTCACCCCTTTGGTGTTTCCTGTTTCTGACCTAAACATGTGAAAAAAATAATTTTACTCAAAGTGCGCCTACCTATTGTTGTGCATCCTAACAATGCACCTGGTTGTAATGCTCACCAGCTATTCCTGTCTCTTTCTTACTCAGGTGAAGCCTATTGTGTCGCAGTATCTCAGAGAAAAACAGCTGCCCTACCATGAGGACACATACCTCTCCCGACTGCGCCTCTTCTTTGACAAATACCCGGAGCTCATGGTGTTCGCTCCCCCCATTACAGACCTCGTCGGGATCCAGTGAGGGTGTGGGGGGAGTGAACAATTTCCCATAGTACTAAAAAATGTGTTAGCAGACAGCTTGAGCATTTGAAACTCTACCTAAGAAGCTACTATCACCGCTGAATGAAATATGTTTTTTTTTCCTTTTTTTTCCCCCAAGTACATATCTCTTTTTTTTTTTGTTAATTTTTAAAAACCTGCTGATGAATTAGTACTGAGCAGTCATCACAGTGGCACCTAAACAAGGGCCATTTGGAACAGGAACATCTTCAGCAGGTGTTTTTAAATGTGCAAGAATTTAACATATGGCTTCAGCCTTGCTGAGCTAGTGAGAGAGAGGCACAGCTGCTTCTGCCTCAATCCCTTTGCTATTCCTTATGCTACAGCATTCAATCAGAAATACAACCATCACATATGCTAGGGCACATTTTTAAAGTTATTTGATTAAAGAATGAACGTTTCTTTTTTTGGAAAGCTCTGGATCAGGATTATTCCAACAGTACTTTACAGATTGCACATTATATAGCACACTGCTTGCCAACTGTGGCTTAATGCTTAACTTCTGAAGAATAGTTGCAGCACCAGCCTTTCTCTGTCTCCATAAACAGCAACAATTCAATGCAATAAAACAAAAATAACTTTTTTGAGACTAATATGCAAGACTTTATATGAAGGGCTGATGTTTACAATGAGTGAGTCAAGTTCTACCACCTGCAAAGGGTCAGATTGCCTTTCATGTGAGGCAGTTAACATCTGTCTATAACTGAACACTTTCAGAGTTCACATTTTATAATAATACAGAAAAGGGTCATGCAGTGTGTGCAGAATGTTTCAGAGACATACCAGGGAAGTGATTCATTGCGTTTTAATTTAGGTTGAATAATTCCAGACTGTAACATGTTTACAATTATGAATATGACCATTATCGGGGAAAAAACCAATCTGCATTGATTCATTGTAGAAGGGAGAAAATCTAAAATGAGTTGAGTTCATACAAGCACAAAAACATGAAGTGTTTCCTGCTAGTATTAAGTCATGAAACTGGGTATTTACAGTAGCTCTGATGTGCCCTTCCTAAAACCTAGTATGGTAAATTTGCCATCTTCCAGTGATTTTACTGTGGGTATACCAAGCCTTACTGTTGCTTTTCCAGTATTTCCTACAGATAAAATGTTTTGTCATGCCTCTCTAATCCTGGCTGTATTTTCACTTTGAATTCTGCGTGCTTTCATTGTGGCTAACTGCAGAATTAGGGTACACTCAGAATCCAGGGGTGACCAGCCCTGGTTCGGAAGATTCTCAATCCACAGGCGCATCAATAAACTCTTCCAACACTGATGCATTTGGGAAGATAATTGGTTCAGTCAAGAGAGGAGTGCCTAGCTGTGATCCTTGAGAGCTAGGCATTCGTTTCAGATGATATCTACATCACCTACCTGAACAACCCACCTGCTTCAGTGGTCAAAATGAAATTGTTCCATGTATTTCAAAAGGCTGTGAATCGTAAAACTTGTCTCTCCGGGAGCAGTGTTGGCCATTTCTGTCATAAACTAAACATTATTCAGTGTTCACTATTGCAGGATTTCTTTCCAGAAATTCATAAGACATACAGTATTTAAGCATCTAATGAATACATGTGTCCTGTCAGTTACTAGTTAATAATGTGCAAATGACAAGGCTGGCTTGAACTCCCTCTTGCAGTAAGGAGGGCTATTCTATAGGGCCCTAATGGGATGCAGAATATATAGCTACATATTTGCCTAATAACTCTAGTGTTCAGTGTCTTTCATTTTAAATGTAATTAACAATGTCTTTGTGCTCTTGTAATTTAAAACAAAGAGGTGAATAATGACTCATTTTATGCAATTTTATTTAATGCTGCTAATCAAATATCAATGAAACCAATAGCATTTCAGAATCTGTTCTGATCTGACCCCAGCCCTGTCTAGACCAAATACTGTATGTAATAAAGGGACAGTGTTCAATAAAAAGTAAATCATTACTTAAGCCAAATATGAGGTGACCTCTCTATTCTTTTCAGGTTTAAATCAATGGAATGAAAATGTTAACTTGTGATAGTAGTTCATGGATGCACAAGTCTGTGTATAGGTTTACCAATCACGTTTAGCAACGCTTTATCAAGCATTGTCTAAATGTAATGAATGAAAAGGTGGACAGAATGTATTTTTCAAACAAAATATATTTTTTGTAGTTCTTATTTACCATTTTATCATGCTATTTTAAAGAATCTGGGGTTTGCAATACTGAATCCTAAGTGGGTGTCCTGTAGTTTCCACTAGGTGGCACCTTTTCTCCTGCCTGAAGGGATCTGTGCCGAAAAATCTTGCTTTGAACTTCCAGCTAAACTTGGAAAACTATCAATGTTGTAATCTTTTCTATTTTGCATGACAGTAATGCCAGACATTGTTAATGTGTAGAGAAATAGTTTTTTTTTTCTCCAATATTTACATATCTGGTTCTGGAAATGAACCCTATGTAGCTGATGTGAAAACCCTTAACTGTTCTTTGTTAGCACTGGCAAAAAAGGTGATGAAATTCACTATCAGCATCCTGCACTGGGAGATCACTTCAGAATCCTGGGTACTAAACCAGTTCCATTGACATCCAAGTCTCAGGCACCTCATGATTTAACAGTTTACACAGCAACTGGGGACCTCAGGACATTTCCTCCATTTAGTAAAATGTTGTAAAATTAAATTTAAAACCTTTTTGAAGTTGTGTTAGCAAACTAATTTGTTAAGCCACACATCAAATGACACATCAGTATCATTTTAATTAAAGCACTCTAAATACAAATTTACATAAATATAAACAACAAGTAACAGAACTAATATAATACAATACAGGATAATACAATTTTGAATAGCACACTTACAAGGGGGTATTAACAAAAATAATTTGAATTCCAAAATGGGGAGCGCTATTTCTAAGTGTACAGGAAAAGGAAAATATAAACAGTACAACACAGTAAGACGTGTAAGTTTCCCCCTAGATTACTAAACTGTTGACAATATTTTAGTGGGTATTAAAATTAAGATTAAAGATTAAGATAATATAAACATGCTGTTTTTAAGAAAAAACAGTTATCTTTATTTTTGCCATGTTTCTTGCCAAAATGTATACCATTTCGGTAAGTGCCCATTCCTTCTACAAAATACAAACTCATACAAAACCTCAGCCTGTGGTCAAAGTGGCATTGATTCATTAATTCTTATTGTGAAAGTGTTCTGTGTCTTACACAAAGCTATCACCTTAGATACTGATCAGAGTCTTTCTGATTGAGAAATAGCGTAGAACCCTTCACATACAGTATCAGTTATCTGGAGAGGGTGACACAGTGCAAACTAATCTTGTAGGCTTCCGAAGAATTCAAAACGTAGAGAACTAACCTGATGTTGCAGCCAAGCCTTCCATGCTGTTAGTTTAAGAGTTCTTATTTTTTCATGAATAACTGATTTTAGGAAGTTTTATTAGCCTCTGAGCTCAAAGGTGGACACTGACACAAAGTGAAATTAAGATCTGTAGTGACGTAATTCACTGCTTTCAGTCTCACTTATCAGGTTCTGCAAGTTGATAAACTTTGTTGAATTATGCAAGTTGACATTTGCACTTTTAAAGTGCAAATTGAGCAAATGCACTTCCTTAATCGCTACTGCCTACACCATGGGTTGTGTTTAATCCTCCATTGTGACTATTATTTAATTAAAAATGGTGATGATCAGTAAAGGGGGTGTCACTGGTAGTCATTTGTGAAAAACAACTGTCAGCATTTTTGCTCTAAAGAAGCTTCTAATCATGGTCCCCATTTACCTGGACGGCTTATATGAACTTTGAATATGTCTTGTTTGTCTTGACCCAGTAGGACGGTAGATAAGATTTCTGTACACCAGCACAAGAGGTGAAATTAACTATTTCTTCAGCTGCAGTTTAAGTACTAAAGGACAGGTGGTAAAAGTACTGTGCATAATATTAGCATTATTGGCAAACCAGACAAAAGTTAGTCGTGGCTATTACACATTGTTTCTACTTATCATACTTTGGCACTTTGAGGATCAAAGCAATTAAAAAATACCTAAATGAATATACAACAAGAACTGAGTCATCTTTGAAGTTTCAGTCATATAATGGGTGGCTTTCCTGTGTTTAAACTAAACCACAATTATTACTGTCTTCCCACAGAGGAATTTAGCAGGGACACCAAGGTTAACACTATTGACATAGGATCTTCATCAATAACATGGGATCTTCACTGACCAAGCAGATGCAACATGAGTTTAAAGTGAGATAAAGTTTTTTATCTGAAGTATAACAGTGCTCCCTGTCGCCTCAATGGGGAGCTGAAAATGTTTTCTTTACTTTGGAAACTATTTCAGGGGTAAGAGTTCCATCTACTGGTGCAGCTACCGTACATCTCTCCAATAGCAACCTGGTTTTCCCTTGAAGTCTTCTATCCCAGTATTGGTCTGCCCCAATCTGGTTTAGCTTCTGAGATCTGATGAGTTCAGCTTAGAGGGTGGTAATGTTGCTATTGAGAAAATGTGATTTCTTCCCATTTCATCGCTTTTATTTTTAATTGCTTTCATTATCTTGTAGATAATTAGAGTCGAGTAGACTTATTCCAAGACACTCTCCGATTTCTGTTCAGGATCAGTTTGAAGGTGGTATATCTGATGGCTACTATCCTACTATCTAAATCAGAGCATTAACGCTGTGAATATTATTTGCCAAAAAACAGAAAGGAAGTATATACAAAGCATAACTTTATTAAAGAGCCTTAGGTTATGTTTGCTTCAGGACATGACAAATAACTCCTTATCCAAACTATAGTTGTATAATAGTATAATAATAAAAGTATAAGTATAATAATAAAAAATATTTGCAAAGATAAGGCTCCAAAATGTTCCATGTAGATCTTTTAAGCTGTCATACAGTATTTTGTTCATGCACTATACACAATTAACTATTAATAAGTAATATCATAATATTTTTAGAAGTGGTCTTACATTAGTTTAATATTTATGTCATTACTAATAGTATGGTTTTAATCTTGATCTTCTAGAAGCCATGGGATATTTATTAATACATTTGTACTATATACAGTATATACAGTATATATGTTTACAGGATACATACCATGCTTTGAGACATATTTGTTTCACATACAGTTTACACGAGATATTATACTTTCAGGAGGTGTATTTTGGTGTACATATGTACAAGTTCTTTTTAGTTTTATAATTTTGAACGGAGCCGTGTCTCAAGCAGAGCAGCATGTGCTGTAACTGAAGCAAGGTGCAATGGGATGCAAAGAAGAGAAGTCAAAAAAAGAGAATTAGAAAAACAGAACAAACATTTACCCTTCCTTTGTAACTTTTCTCCTTGCTTTCAGAACATTCTGCAGCCTTCTCCTCCCCTCACTGTCGGCACAGTGGGGGCGGGGGGAGGGGTGGGACCGGGAAGCTGCTCTGACGCTCTGCATTCCTTAGGTGTGGTTTCCAGCTTGACTGTACGTGCGCTCAGGTTGCCAGAGAGTGTAGAAGCACCCAGGAAACTGGAAGCAATGCCTGACACTGAAACAGCAAAGCCTCCGGACCGGCCTGCCTGCCCCATATGTTCTGGGGGTTTTGAAGACCCTGTAACCTTTAAATGTGGCCACTGCTTCTGCAGGGGTTGCCTGGGTGAGACATGGGACAAAGCGGAGAGCAAGGATGTCACCAGCTGTCCACAGTGCCAGGACACGTCTCAGTTCAGATCTCCCCCTGGGGAGAATGGTCTGATGAATGGGACAGGGGAACACCAGGCAGAGACAGCGGAAGAGTCCAATGGTGAAAAAACTCCGGAGGAGGAGATGCAAGAGCCCGGAGAAGGAGAAGGAAAAGAGAAAGCGGAGGAGGTGGAGAGAGTGGAGGAGGAGGAGACCCTGGCGGCCCTGGGCCCCGATGATGTGGTGTGTGACTCCTGCATCGAGACCCACTCCAGGGCTGTGAAGTCCTGCCTCACCTGCATGGTCTCCTACTGCGAGAGCCACCTCCGGCCTCACCTGGAGAACGTCAAGTTCCAGAACCACCGGCTGGTGGAGCCGCTGAGGGACATCGAGAGCCGGACCTGCGAGACCCACCGGCAGTCCCTGGACGTCTTCTGCCTGGCAGACAACTCCTGCCTCTGCCAGGGCTGCATGGAGGAAGGGCACCGAGGGCACAATACTGTGCCAGTAGGGGATGCAAGAAAGCAGATTGAGGTATGTTCCTACAGAATGAGTGTCACAGGAATCGTGGGCAAATGTCACTTAGAAGAGGAAGGAATATAGAAACAGCTAATTTCCTCACAATGGGTAGCACACTGATTTCATTTCAAAATGTCTTGCACACAGACATATGTGAAATGTCAGTGGAGAGGATCTATATTTTCCCCCTTTATTCAAATTAATGTTGGAATTGTTGAATACATTTAATTATTCTGTGTTTTTCCATGAGCTACTCTCAGGATTGCTGTCATAGGAAAGCAAAAATCATCTTTTGGTATAAAATCTTTTCTTTCTGACATTTCCATTGTCTTTGAACATACATGGATTTTAAAGTGCATATAAATAAACAGTCCTTTGTTTGCAGAGGAACCGGTCTGGTGCCGTAAAGGAGAGTAAAAAAAACAAGACACTCGGTGTTTTATTTTTTTTCTGAATAAAAGTACAGAGTAAAACTCCTGTGAAGTTCCTGTGTCCACCAGGTGTTTTCTGCTTATCTGATTTTCCTATGTAAGTAAACAAAGCTGAAGTGTTTTTGACTTGCATATGATTCAGCTCACTTGAAAATACTTTCTTTTTCTTTAAAGAAACACCTTTAATTTGCTCATTTCACCCTTTAACTTAAATTTCCCTTTGCTTTAATTGAGATAATTAATCGCTTTCTTAGGTAATTACATCAGCAAAAGCTGATATGGGTGATATGGTGCTGATGCCTAAAAGGCATGGTGTTTTATATCACTGGTCACTGGTGTTTTATATCAACACACAACCTACTTACATGCTCAGAGCTTTCGGTTCTGTGTTGTTGTTTAATTTATGAAGAGCTTCAGATAAGTGCATCACATTTTTATCAAGGGATCCAGTGGATAACTAAGGAAAATCTACTCCATCTGTCCTTTATTCAGGCTTTCATTTCTCCAGACTTGTTAAGAAGACACCAGTGTTGATTTGTAACTCGTTTGTTATCCGTGTTACAGAGAACACTATTTGCATATTACATAGGGAAATGTGTTACTGACAGCTCCACAAAGTACTATAGATTCTGAAAAGACAAGAACACAGAAGTCTTTAATATTCATTATGTAGACATACAGTATTTGAAGGTATAGTGGGTCTTTGCCAGTAGCCATCACCCTGCAACTCACAGCTGGCAGCCCACTGAAGCTCAGCAGGTGTTTGCTTGGTCAGTACCTTGAGGGGAGCCCTCCTGGGAAAAACCTAAGGTTGCTGCTGGAAGTGGTGTTATTGGGGCCAGTAGGGAGCGCTCACCCTGCGGTCTGTGTGGGTCTTAATGCCCCAGTATAGTGACAGGGATGCTATACTATAAAACAGGTACTGTCTGTTGGATGAATAAGATGAAAACCGAGGTCCTGACTCTCTGTGGTCATTTCCCTGGAATTTACCAATCGTAAAATAATACAGTTTAAATGGTATTTCCTTTGTACTGCATAGTAAAACTAAAAACAAACTGTCTTGCAAATACTGTATTAACACCAGACTTTTTAAAGTTAAAACCATTTTTGCAAGTTATTCTGCAAAATCTCTCCAGAAGCATCTGAAATTGTCTCAAGCAAAAAAAAAAAGATAAAGATTCTTGATTTGATAACGTTGGAAGAAATAACTTCATTCCCTGAAGCTGCATCGTGTCAATCTATAAGAAATTGTAACTTTTGACCCAACTTCCTGAATTCTCCAACCCCCCCCCCCACTCCCCCTCCTCAAAGAAAACAGGAATGCTCTGTCAGGCATGTTCTGACTTGGGTTTCAAGATCTCATTATTTGTGAGATCCAGTAACAAAAGCCTACAGCTAATTTTCTTAAGCAGCTTCATTTGAATATGAAACAAGTAACAGATCCTTTGAGTAACTGTTACATTAAGAGTCCAGCACTAACCTAGCACCGTTTAATCTTGTGATTGTTAGTACAAAATTCCTTCTCCACCTTGCTTTCAAGCACATCACACCTTAATGACGCATTTCAACAAAACAAAGTGTTGCAATTCAAGTTCTCTGTATTTCCTCATTATTAACCACAGTCACATACTTGTGCAGAAACAACGTAGATTTCTTTGTATGTTATCTGATATAATAAAAAACATTTTCTGTTTTTATTTTGCAACCTCACTAGTACTTCAAGTTAAAAGTCCATGTGTTTTTTAATGTCTCACCATGGGTGCATCAGAAAAAAGTCAAGACATATAAAAGTGCATTTTAGTTACATAACTCAGCAGTAGTGCTAATTTCGTATCTTTGTTTTATAATGCAGCTTTTCAAATTGTGAGTAATATCTCTATTTTTTGTTTATTTTCATTCATCTGGAGTAGAGGTAAGAAAATCATCAGACTTGATCAGAATGATATGTTTGGGTGTACAGACCCACTCTACGCTGCTTATTATAATTATTTTAAAAAGCCAAAGGGCAAGACTACAACTCATTTTAAAGTTTATCAAAGAGAACTGTAATTCTCGTATTTCCAGATTGTGTGATAAAAAGATGAGATGGTTCCTACAGTGACAATTATCTAAGAGAAAAACAATGACTAGTACACTCTCATGTTTCTGCTGCTGACTTGTCAGAATGGGTCTACAGCATACAGTAAGGCATTGTTCACTGCAAAGCTGCACACTGGTGGGCTGAGGTTAGGGGTTGGAAACAGGAAAGGTGGTTATACCTGTGTCACTGACAGCTAAATTGAAAAGAACTTATGTAAAGTTGCATCTGTCCTGGTGGAGGGCCTCCATTCACACCTGCCTAAAGAGAGCTTCACTGGGTGTACAGTACTTAGCCTCCACTTCTCAGAGCCAGGTGGCACTGCTTGACAAGACTGCCAGGTCTAGGGGTTTTGCACACTTTTGAGGTCATTTATTACCGAATGGCCGCAATGAATTCCTCTCACCCCGACTAGAATCCTGTGTGCTAGAAGTTTTGGGTCCTAGAAACTCCATATAAATAAAATATCTTGTCTCAATCTGCTCTTCCAGGTCAGTCCATTTCCTTAAGGCATATCGTGATTGCTTCCTGCTCCTTGCAGTGTCTCAACCTGTGTGAAGAATATATGGTCTAGCCACCTCTAACACTAACTTAATATTGCTATACTGATTATATTGCTAATCTGATTTTTCTCTATACTTTTATACAAAATAGTTTTTTTTACACAACACAATTCAAGCAGCAGCCTTTCAATGCATCGGTCACAACAGATTTTTAAAATAGCAGCGGCAGCCAAGATGAGTACTGATCACAAGTTTGATCACAAGCTGGGCAGCATGTTACTACATCATACAGCACATTGAAGGTTACCATGAATACATCAGCATGTGCCATTATTTAAAAGACCTTTTAAAAATCTGAGTATACTGAAGTGAAGGAAAACCTCAAATGTCTTCAGGCAAGGCATTTCTTTGGGAATGCTACAGTATGTTGAATGGATTCTTTTGAAACCTTTGAATTATGACACTTAAAACCCAGAAAATCCATGCAGGGTTTTGAAGATGGATAATCATTCATGGGGAACAATTTGGGGACCTGTTAGTGGGGATTCTAACTTGGAAACTCGGTCATTATCCTACAGATGGTAAAATTGCATTATTGATTCTTTAGCCAAGCAGACGGCAAAAGACTGTCTGGATTAATTCTGAAAATAAACTTGATCAACAAAGCAAATGCTATCAAATTAATCAGATTCAAGTCACTTTTCCACCTGTTCTCAATGCTTTTTTGCTTTTTGTGTTTTTCAGGAAGAAATGCAGAAGAAATGTGCAGAAATGATTAAAACTCTTACAGCTGCTGAGAATGCCATTAGCAAGCTAGAGACCAACACCAAATCCATCGAGGTACACACTGTATTTACTGCACCTAAAGATGACTTCAAATAACTGAAGTACTAGTATTGCATTCCAAAGAAGGGATTGTGTTTTTTGCATTCCAGGGGGCTGTTCATGCATTTGTCTAAATGCCTTTAAGGTATAAAAGCACAACTCATGAATAAAAACAGGTCCTTTCAGATTTTTATATTCTGACAATAAAGACATTCTCACGTATTTATATTATCAGCAATAACACGAGAACTCCAGCTAAGGAGAAGAGCCTAACGCTGGTAACAGCACTATATTTCAGAAAAGGTATTTTTCACCTCCTCTTTCTTTGCAACAGATGTACCTTGTGTTTACAGCTGCTGCAAACCAGGTAGTCTGAAAATGAATTAGCTGATTCCTTGAAGTTGTCTGGTATCAGTGGATTTTGTAGTTTTGTGGAAAACGAAACTTTTGCAAAGAATTAGGGTTTAGAGAGATGTGCTTTTAGAGAGATGTTTTTTAAACAAAATCTGCACATTTAACTATAGTATCTTGGTATCTACAGCTGTATTGTGTACCCTACTGGTGTGGTTTTGTAGAACACAGCCTGGAGCCAATTTAACAAGTTAATAATTGCATAATACTTTTATTGTGTGCATATCAAAACTAATAAACGAATGCATACCTATCTCAAGGTAATGTTATGTAAGTCACCAGAATAGTAACTCACAGTTTTCATCATGTTATGTAACTACACCTGGTTTTGATGCATTTTTTAGCAGGCAAAAAAGGGAAGTAAATAAAATAGACTTCCATCATAAAATCTGGTGCAAATTAAATAAATTAAAATCTGCATGAATATATATACTAATTTAATTTAGTGTTTCACATGAAAGAAAGAAACCACTCTTGAAATGGTACATTAATTGCATTTTGAAGGAGAAAAGCATATGATCTGGATCCTAACGTAAGGAGATTAGGGACACAAGGATATGAAATTGCATTGTTTTGTTCTGGGTTCCTCTGACACGTTGGTTGTTCTGTTGTGCTTGTTCAGAATTCTGTGAAAGATGTCAAGGCCACCATTGAGGAGCAGTTTTCAGCCCTGGTTGAGGCAGTGGAGAAGGCCAAGAAGGAGGTGAAGGAGTTCCTGGTGAACGAGAAGAGCTCAGCTGTCAAACAGGCAGAGGGAATCAAGGCCCACCTGGAGCAGAAGTGCACCGAACTGAAGAAAACACAGGTGCAAGTGGAGAAGCTGTCCAAGAAAAAGAATGATATTGATTTCCTCCAGGTAACGTACCAGAGTAGGGAATAGTTTTTCCCTGTTCAAACAGTATCCCAGGCTTGTTTGTATTTCTATTGCAGCTCAAAATAAACTCAAGAACTTGACATGTTTGAACATGAAGCTTTCAAGACCAGTCTGACTAATCCTGAAGAACAGAACATTTTGCCCAGACAAGTGTTTTCTACACAGAGAGTGAAAATGTTTCTGGTCTTTTTGTATACTATTCTTATATCAGAATTAAAAAAAAAAACAACTAATTCTAGACCTGGCTGTACTAGTATACTGTCTTTCGTGTCAAGTCTTTCCTTTCTTGCATTTATTCTTTGAACCTGTTTCAATTGTCAATTTTAATCCACACTTTGAATGCACTTACAGGAGGAAACAAAGGCTAGAGTTCTAAGGAGATCTGTTTACCTTCCATTTTGTATAATCTGTAGGTTATAGTTAACAGCCATATGATGAACACAATTGGAAAAGCAATTTATTCCTCCTCTGTCTCAGAATGGTATCTGTTAAGATGCTGATCACTGTGCTTGGTCATTTCGTTATAGTAAGCACAATATTCACAGAACTAAGAACATTGTTTTATACCTCAAGGTTACTAATGTTTCTGATTCAGATTTAATCCATCTCTGTGCACAAAGTTCTGACCACAAAGATGAGATTTCTGAATGGGAGTATTCAAAGGATGACTATGACTATACATGACCTCCAATACACTGTATAAAGTCTGCAAATCCATAATTGCTACCTTCTGTGTTCCAGGATTACTGTGAATGGAAACAGGGGGCACCCGATGTTACCCTACCTGGCGTTTACATTGGCCTCATGGACCGTCTACCCAGCTTTAGTAGAGTTGTGATTGAGTCCACAAAGGAGATCTGTGGCCAGCTCCTGTCCACTTACAGGGACAATCTCAAGGAGGTCTGCAAGAATGGTGAGTCAGGGCACCCCCTGCAGGGAGGCACAAGACACTGCATGTGTCCTTCATGCCCTGATGGGAACATCCACAGTGCTGGCCCTGATCTTGGAAGATCACCATTACCATCAAAATTCCTGTAAATGTTCAGATTCTGGTCATAATTCCTATGTAAAGCAGAACTCTTTCTCTGTGCCCCTGCAACATTATTACACCCAGGCCAAATGCACTCAGGTCTTTATGTATAGTACTGCAGGTGCTTTACATTGCCTCTTACTTATTCCAAGGCTTTTTATCTTACTTGGGAAAAACAAATATATTCATGATTGCTGTTCTTATTAATATTGATTTATTATTGATCTTATATTGATCAAGATTAGAATGAAGGCAAGATATTTTATATGGATGGCTATCTTATTCCACATTCCCACAGTCTAAAACCCTCTGTGTAAATTTTATATGAACCAGTGTATGTCTGGTATTAGTCTATTTTGTGTTTCAATGTTGATTCGGAAATGCGCTGTGTTGACCTTGTTAATGGCTGACAGATGAAATCTTGGGGAATCTAACTTGTATGAGACTGTGTGTCATAATAATGTGCAGAGTTCAGAAACACACCTGTAATCAGTTCCACAAACAAAAAGGCTCACTGAGTAATTACATTACTCAATGCAGAGACTCCCTATGAATCACATTAGTATAAGGCATATGAGAAAGTGAGATATTTGCCTTTTGTTTTTTAATCAACAAAAATAATGTGGTTACTATTATGTGCTGAAAACAAAACACAGCACAATATTTACAGAAAAAAATTATTAAAGCTTGCAAATTACAGCTCAGCAAACCTACCTAGAAGACCTGTTTCAAAAATGACAATAAAAAAACCCTAATTTTTGCAGCTGTCTATTCAACAACTGTATGCTGAAACCTGACACTAACTTTCCATTTTTCTTGCTATCTTTCAGATAAATGCAGCATAAAAACCACAGTTCATGCAATAATCCCACTTAAGCATCATATTTCAATGCCAGAGCCACAGACTCGGAGTGACTTCCTTAAATGTGAGTAGGCACATATTCAAATCCTAACAGAATCAATTATTTATTAAGTCCCATTAAGTCTCTTTCAATTACCTTTATCAACTCATTGCTATAGTAGCTCTAGCAGTGCTTGGAAAATTTTCCTCAACAAGTCTACGTATCAAGGTAGGAGATGATCATTAATGAATGAATTCACTGTGAAATACACTAGCCTTTTTATTTATTATTTTAAGCCTTTTGCTGTTCCTGGAATAATGTGTTAGCTGTCAACATGAAAAGAAATCTTATTAAAATGTGAACAGTTTCTGTTATCTGTAAATATCCATAATGGATGGCACAGTGGCTCAGAGGTTAGCACTGCTGACTATCTGACTATCAGCTGTCTTTGTGGACTTTGTACAATATGTTGTCCCGTGATCTTCTGTGTTTCCTATGGGTCCTCCAGTGTTCTTCCATAATCCCAAATCATACTGCTAGGTTAATTAGCTTCTATGAAAACTGGCCCTGGTGTAAATATGTGCGTATCTGTGTCTGTGTGTTCCCTGCAACGGACTGGCATCCTGTCCAGGGTGTATCCTGCCTTTGTAGCCTGTTGCTTGCCAGGATAGGCTCCAGCTCCCCTGAGAACATTGGAAGAAGCAGTTAGAAAATGGATGGATGTAAATATCCATAACTACTATCATTAACTTAGCTGATGAAAATAATAAAGTAGATCCCACCTTCATAACCCTGTCATATCCCTTCACCAGATACTTCCCCCATGACCTTCGACCCAGACACAGCACACAGGTTCCTACGTCTCACAGAAGACAACAGGAAGGTGACCAACACCACACCCTGGCAGCACCCCTACATGGACGTCCCCGAGCGATTCGAGCACTGGCGTCAAGTGCTGGCGTCCGAGAGCTTCTACCTGGGTAGGCACTATTTTGAGGCTGACATCAGCGGAGAGGGAACCCACGTGGGGGTCACCTACAAGAGCATCGACCGTAAAGGCCAGGAGAACAACAGCTGTATCACGGGCAACGACTTCTCCTGGTGCCTGCAGTGGAACGCCAAGCAGTTCTCAGCCTGGCACAGCGACGTGGAGACGCCGCTCAAGGTGGAGAAGTTCACACGGATCGGGGTCTACGTCGACTACTCCAGGGGCGTTCTGGGTTTCTACGGAGTCGCGGACACTATGACTCTTATCCACAAGTACAAGGCCAAGTTTCAAGAGCCCCTTTACCCTGCCTTCTGGCTGTCTAAGAAGGAGAACACGGTTCAGCTGGTTGGGCCTGGAGACGCACCTCCTCAGAAGACCCCTTCAGCCCCTCCCACACTTCCCACAATTCCCACACTTTCAGCGCCCAAGTAACCCAGACTGCTGAAAGCACTGGCACAAAGTGCATACTGCCTCCTGAGACTCAGACTCAATATCTCCCACCAGTGTGAAACCAATACAAACGATATCTACAAAATTGCATTAAACTTAATAGACTGTTGACTTCCACTGTGACATGAGCCGGGCCTTCTTAGGACCGCTGCATTCATCTGTCTTACTGAGGGCTGGAAGGTGTTAATCATTGTGGCTGTGAACACCAGACATGACTGAAGTACAAGGGTGGTTGTCAGAAAGCTGAGTCTTTTGCAATCAGCCATTCCAAACTGCATGGCTATACAAAAAAATAAAAAAATAAATGAATTCCAAAATTTCAAAAAAAAATGCGTGCTGTTTTTTTTTTTACTGTGTGACTCAAAAACGTTGTCCCTAGTTTAACATAAATCACACTTTAAATCAACTAGTATTTAAAATAAAGGTATTTGCATTGATCTGCTGTATCTGTACCACAGTCATCACACAACACAAACTTTTAGAAAAGTATATCTTCGTATACATAAGGGCAGACCCAATTTAATTTCCTCATAGCATAAGAGCAGTAGGCTTAATTTACTGTAAGTCTAAACTAAAGTCTTGATGATTGTGAAATCCAGATGGAATAGCTATTAATGCCTTTCACGGTGTGACTAGTAGTGTACAGCAGTGTATTTCCTTGACTACAGCTAAAATAATTTATAAGAAAAGATGCTATGAAATTATTTCAATGATTGAAATTCCCATGATTCCCCTAGAGAGCGTGGTCTTATTCACGGGCCTGTCACAATAGCTGCTGTTTGTGTAGTGAAAGTAGCGTAGCGGTAAAAATAGTGGTAGTGTGTTGTGACAGCAAATAACACGTCATGATATGCAGACAGCTTCCAGCAAGAGCTAAGTCACTTATGACCCAGAACAACAACTTTACAGTGTACTATGAATCAGTGTTTTGGGTGTCTTAAGCATCTCAGTAGTGACCCATCTCTTAGTGTGGCTTACAGTTTCTTTAACGTCAAATTTATTTTTTAATGTGCGGTTTTGTTCATGTACATATTAAATTCTGATGTAAATCGTGATTGTATTTTTCTTACCTCTGGTTTCTGTCTCTTAAAAACATATGTATGCCTTCCTTATGTGTTCTCTATGCCTTTCTTCTCCGTATGTGTTCATTTCCTCTGTATTTTGAAACTGTATCATAACAGTATGAACAGTGTCATCCTTTCAGCACAGTTTGGTTGTGGGAATACGTCAGTCTCTTTGATTATTAATTTATCAGCTGATACTTTCTATTTGGTGCGTGTGATTACTCTGAGTGACGACCCAAGTGCCCAAGGAATGTTACAAATCGACTTTGGAAATATCGCAAAAAGTATTTTTTTTTCCTTTCCAACATAAGCCTTCCATCTAGTGGAATTATATTGCAATTACCATTTTCTTTAATTCCCTTTGTGTCTTTCAATGTGCAAGCCAAAAAGTGACCACTGTTCTCTTGTATAAGTGGAAAATGGTCTCTCCCTTTCTTTTTCTTTATATTAAATGTTGCAGGGGAAATAGGAGGTGGATTTCACCTGCCTTTCTTAGGCCAGATACACCCCAGCTAGGACAGTCCTTGACCACAGGAATTTTCCGGGGAAATTTGCTGCAGCTGCTGTACTGTACATGCAGAGACCACATTCCTCTGTCCTCCTCTCGTTTATACTGTAGCTCTGTCCCGCGAACAAATTGTACCTGACACTGCTGTTTAATTCTAAAAGAAACAATGTAACACAATCTGCCCACCAACAAGCAGGTGACACATCGATAAATGGTGATTTGCAAACTAGACTCTTTTTTTAAGCTTTCATTGCACTAAGTGAAAGTAGCCTTTTGCATTACGGTCAGCGCATGTGTGCTCGTTTACCACATAATTCTTTGTATTTAGTTTATGGCAATATTTCCCGAAACATGGCAGAATTTATTAATTGCTTTTAACAGCTCCCCTGCACATTGCTTTGACTGAGGGACGTATTTGCACAACAGATGAAAACATCATTCTTTCTAACTGAATTTACTAATAAAAATATGTCCCTGAGCACAGATTCACCCTCAGCTGAGTACGGAAGGCCAGGCGATAAGGTGGTAGTTAAGAGTCGTAGCGTTAGCGCAGGGCTGAAGACTCCAGTGCAATTCAAACGAGAAAGGTAGCCACTACCAAGATGGCTGCCAAGAGCTGCTGCTGCTGCTTATCCTGCGACATTGCGGGGTTGATGCAATATTCTTGTTGAATAAAATAATTATTATTTTTCCCAGTACTCATAATGATTTCATCCAGATTTTTCTCTAAATAGAATACCACTAAACGTTTTTGTTCCCCCCCTCCCTTACAACATTGGGGTCCTTCAGGCGCACTGAAGGCCGTTTTGTTTGGGTACACGTTTTCAGGAAGTCCCGTGCATTAAAATGATGAGACAGGTATGTATGCGCGATCTATGGTTATGTCGATTGTTTTACATTTATGAGTAATATTTGTGTGGTGTATATGTGCTCTGATATCAAGAACGTCCTGCCGGTGTTCTGTGTTTTCTAGTTAGATGTGTAACTAACTTTAAAACGCTGTTGATGAGTTCGGTACGGCAACTCCTCTTGAAGTGCTTTTAGATCTTTTTTAAAATACTGTACCGAGAAATGGTATTGCTTTTATGGCATGATTTAAGGTGTATTATATTTGTCGTGGTTCCGAACGGTTCTAATAGTTTTTGTTTGCGTTACATTTTACTTTGAGCTCGGTGAGTTTAGAAAGTTTACACGTCGGGTATAAACTAAAACCTCCGACAGTGTTCTTTAAAAAATAGACTGTGAATTGTACATATTTCGTGTAAAATAGAATGAGTCTGCTTTGCCTTTAGGTGTAGTTCTGGTGTAAAAGCCAGAGAAGGTAAATGTTAGTGCAGCGTTTCCAACACAGCAGTTTTACACCACGAAAGTTTATTCGAGTTTTTAAAAACTCTGATCGGTAAATTAACATTTTCTACTGAGGAATTGACAGTACACTTGGAAGCTATGAGAGCTTGCTTAACGAATATACTAAAAATTAACGTATTAAACTGTTGTAGAAAATTCTTCATCAGAGGAGCAGGACACTAGGTCTTTTGCAGATTCAGTTTTATTGAGCTCAATGAGATCAACAACGCCCGCCGGTTCTGCCCCACATAACAGACAAACTGCAAGGGTTTTCCAGCTCTTATATACAGTCAGAGGAAAGTTTGTTTCACAATCTGAGTGCTTGTCCTGTTCTTTGATATGTAATTACTTCTTGTCTTGCTCTAGGTTCTGTCCTCTGATATGCAGCAGACATTGGTCTGGCTTATCCTGTTTGTGGGTGTTGTTCCTGTCGTTTATTATGTAGAGTTAAGCCACTGGGGCTACTAAAGCAAGTCAGCTTTATGGCATCTTAGTGTAACTTTTGTTTGAGGGTAAATTAACAGACCCCACCAACACCTCTCACTTTGTGCTTAAGTGGCAATTCTTTGATGCTGGATAAGTGAGATATATACATGTCCCACTTCAAAACTATACCATTAATGCATTGCGTTTCTGCAATTTTTATTTTCTTCGACCACGTGATACAGCATATTGCTACTGCTTAAGACAAGATATTCTTATTTTACTTCAGATTTCCCTGTCATGGTTGCTTTAATGACTTTTAAATCTGAACTAGCTCCGTACGGTACAGGTCCTCAACCAGACACAATTACCACCTCATTCAAACATGAATATGAAGGTGACACTTCTGAGTCCTAAAGTTGTTTCTTTGTAAATGTTGGTTCTCTTCCGGCAGGACTCTAACGAGGATGATGTGGCCCTTTTTGATGCGGAGGATGAAGTTTCCAGAAAATCAAAGGTGGCAAAAATCAGGTAAGGGTTTATATACCATGGCATTCAAATACCGCCTCTCTGTGTTTTTGCAGGCCACTTTCATTTTTTTTAAAAAAGAACCCAACATTTTGGTGTATTATTTAAGTTTATGATATGCAAACCGCCTGTGAGCCAGGGGGACAGAATCTGAAGCCACATCTGGTGTTCTGACCTTTTGTACCTATTTAGGCTAACTCACCTGTGGTGCTGCTGAGTTCCTGAACCCCAGGTGAGCAGACAGAGGCTCTGTCTCAGCCAAGCACAAAGTGCCGGACTGTTATGGGCAGTTTCACCCCCCTTCGTAGCCCTTGGTTGCCCTGTGGAGTTCTGTGCCGTTGATTCTAGTGTTTGGCTTCGCTTGCAGGCATCCTCTGGCCTCGTTCTTCCACTTGTTTTTCCGTGTTGGTGCGATCCTGGTGTACCTGCTGTGTGAGATTCTGAGCAGCAGTTTCATTGCCTGTATGGTAACCATCATACTTCTCCTGTCTTGTGACTTCTGGACTGTCAAGGTGGGTACAGCTCCTATTTCTTTTTTAGTTTGACTATTTTTTTAAATGAAAAAGCTTTTGAACTTTCTATTCTGGACTTATTATCCTGGTTGTTTGACACTGGGGTGTTACTGTGTTGTGTTCCTTCTTACCATCACTTTATAAAGCAGGAGGTCCAAAAAATGTCATTTGAGTGCCTTGTAGAAAATTAATGCTTTCCTTATCAAGCAAATATTGATTCATAAGACGGTAATATCATTTTAACATGCTTAACACCTGCTCCTGCTCAGATGACAATGGTCGCAGCTGACATTCTCTCCATCTTTTCTGCAATCTTGCATTCTGTCTTTGAACAGTGGAAAGATTGTTTGGAGGCAGGGATCTTATTATTGTGGTTTTAAACACATTACCAGCTAATAATCGGTTTTTAATCTTATGATACTGGATTGAGTTCTGACTGAGCAGTGTTATTAAATATTGTTTTGTATCATGGTATTGTATTTTCATGTATGTTATATGTTATGAGCTCTTGTTGTGCCAGGCGAATTCTCTTTGACGCAATAAAGGTGCATTCAATTCACTTCAGACCCGTTGATGGGTCTCTTCAGTATCTTACAATGTCCGTGCTCTGTCAGAATATTACAGGAAGGCTGATGGTGGGGCTGCGGTGGTGGAATCAAGTGGACGATGATGGGAAGAGCCACTGGGTATTCGAGTCACGAAAGGTGTGTGGCTCCCGGCACCTTTAACAGCCCTGCTGTCTGCAGCTGCTGCTTAGCATTGAATTAACTGCTGCCCTCTAAGCAATATCGAAAGCATTTTAGCTTCATAGACGGCATGTTATTACAACCTGCCTTCAGTGCTTTAGAGTATAAGAAAGGTAACAACCGAGAAGAAGCCGTTTGGCCCATTTGCTGGTTAGGGGGTTACCAATACCAGGATCTCATCGAGCTGTTTCTTGAAGGGAGCCAGGGTATCGACTTCAGCAACATGATTGCATAAAACATGCGCAAACATTTCAGCCATTCCCTAATGCTTTGAGTAAACTTTCCTTTTCAAGGGAAACGGAGCTCTGTAGGAAAACAAGTAAGACTGCACAAATTCCCTTTGTCGGCAGGAACAGGATGTGTAATGGAATGTAGACTTCCCGAAGTTCAGTAAATCCTGGCTTTCCTGATTTTGTTTGAACTGTCTTAAATGTCACATGAAACCCTTTTTTTTTCCTTTTTTTGTCTTGGATCACTGTTTTTATTTTTCCTTTCTGCTGAAATGATGAATTTCATAGTTTTTCACCATTCCTCTGTTCAGGGCAAGAAACCTTCTTCAGATGCAGAGTCACGCATCTTCTGGCTGGCACTTATTGTCTGTCCCATCATCTGGGTCATCTTTGCTTTCAGCACACTCTTTTCATTCAAAATTAAATGGCTGGTGAGTTCATTTAATTATCATGATTGCTTTTAAAAGGCTTTTGACGAGTTCGGCAGTGTGATTAATCTTGAAGTGCTTTTAGATCTTTTTTTTAAAAAAATTGTAAAAATATTTTTTGTTTATGCTTTGATGAAGTGTTAGGTAAGTTATATCTAATATTCATTATTTTATGTGAATTATAAGAATTAATTCACATTGTAGTCAAGGTGTAACGTGCTGTCCTGCCTTTTGCTTTTCAGGCTGTAGTTATCATGGGGGTGGTTCTGCAGGGTGCCAACCTGTATGGTTATGTTAGGTGCAAAGTTGGAGGCAGAACGAACTTGAAGAGCATGGCTACAAATTACATCGGGCGTCAGTTTTTTCGACAGGTACGTTCTCTCTTTATCTACTTGTTGGTGCACCTAACAGTCCACACATGCTAGTCTTCTCTTTATTTCTCTGTTAGTAAATCTTTCTGCTTGTGTCAGCTTGACCTTTATCGTGATCTCATGTAGCCACTTTGGCTTGGTGCTGGAATCCGCGAGTGCCGATTTCTGTCTTGCGGCAGCTCACTTTCTCTGCCAGTACATGGTTAAAATTGAGATGGCCTTCTAGGCAGCAGGTTTAATTTAGACAAATAAGAAAAGCATTACTAGGAAATAACCTATGTTGTTTTCTTAACAGGCCATGACTAAAGAAGACGAATCCTAGAGGGACGATATCAGGAGATTATCCAGGTGTAACATCTGTAAAATGGCTACAGCTCTAGAAGAATGAACTTTGAAAGTTGACTGAAAGTTAATCTGTTAATCTAAACCTTGCAACATATTGTCGAAAGCCATTATTAATTTTCCATAGGTGACGCTAAATGTATGTCTTATTTAATAATGGCACAGCAATAACAGACATATCTGTATGAGAGATTCTGTGTGCTATTTTGTTTTCCAAAATTGTGCTTATGTTTTTGCAGCTGATACCATGTAATGGTGATGGGATTTTAGCATCACTCCTAGAGCAAGCAGAAGCTTTTAAAGTGTTGCTGCTCAGACCCTTACCTCTCTGTGTAAACACTGTGTTTAGCACATTTTGCAGTTGTCTGAAAGAGTTATTTGCTAACCCTTTAAGGTTGTTCCGCAGGAAGCTGAAAAGGTTAGGAAAAAAGTGTGACATCCATTGCTTGCCTGTGATAGTATAATCAATGTCTGAAACATTAAGGGCCCAATTCCCAGTTTTGTTTTTTTCCTTTTAGGAGGTTAGTGCCTTCACTTCTGCACACACATCCTGTTCATCAGTAAATTGCAATTGTACCCTTTGAGGAGACGCGGTAGAATGGTTTATAAGACAGAAGGTTGTATTGGCCTGCTTAATTGTTTAATTATGTCCTTCTCAAATTACCTAATAATGTGTAAATTATCATTTGGGAAGCTTGGACCACTTGGGACCCGGGTTTCTGGACAGCTTGAGTGGTAATCGTGGTTTTGTGGATCACATTTGATTAATTTTAAGACAGTGGAATGAGCGAACTGAAATCTGCTTCCAGGATTGCTCATGTGAGTGATGACTCCATGGAGTTAAAGGAGCTAACACAGTTCGCCTTGACCATCTGCTGCTAATGACAGAGGAGTATTTAAAAATGTATCGCATTAGTCTCCTGACTTTTTCCACATTTGATCATTTAAGAGAAACAGTATTGCATATATTTTTTTTTACATTGGAGGATAAAATTCTTTATTAAAAATAGGATAAGGATGACGATATGTAGGATGGGCTTTATAGTGGTTTTTGAAATGGCTTTGATTTTTTTTTCCAAGACGGAAAAGTGTATACTATCAGCTTTATAGGGGTAATTCTAAGCTTTTCCTTGTAAGAGTTTTCACCATTATGTTTCAGCAAGTTACATCAGTCCAATGGAGTATAATGAGGTAGAATAAGAATTTATACTGAACTGATTGAATGAAAATGAATAGTGTTGATAGTTCTAATTTTCCTCTCAATACATACGTCCTGGTACTGTTTCTGTTGTTAAGATGAACACCAGTCTTTTGTAAATGGCTTGAAAGTTAATCATGAATAGAGATTTCCTCCCAAAATTAGGGATTTCTTTGGTTTATCCACAGTAATTACAAATGATTGATATAAACCTTAAGGAGGGTTGTTTTGTTTTAGTTTTATTTATTTGATTGAAGGTTTTTACTGTTTCACAGGGGTTCAGTCTCTAAAGTGTTTTGCAGCTGCACTTGTAATTTTCTTTACAATATTTCAGACGCATTTAAGCAGTTGTATTCATTCTGTATTACAGATTGCTTACTGGGGGTAAAGACTTTGTAAAATTCTTTATATAGAGAAGTAAAGCATTTGTAAGTATTTATTTAAAATTAAAATTGTGCCGTACTCTTTTTTTCTTGTTTTAAACATCAGGTGCTAGTGTAATGGATTTATGCTATGATGTAGAATGGGGACGTTCCTACATGGTTCTCTCCACTGAATGGCTGTATTAATCCAAAGAACACATTTCACAACCTCATATGTGTTTAAGCTAACCATAATTTAAATAGTTTTATTTTCTCTGTGAGCTATTACATTTCATTTTGATTGACATGGACCTTTTTCAAAAGGTTGATACTGTAGATGGGCAGAGGTGGTTGTCCAAAAACGTTTGACTGTGTGGAGTTTTAAAGTTTTAATGTCAAACGCACTGATCATAATTATAGTGTATGTGCTGTCTGTACTTTTTGCAAGAACCAGGTTACAAGTGCACCCAGACTCCTGCTCGCCTTGGCGTTAGTGTTGCCATCTGTAGGAATCCTTTGCCAGATCTGCACAACTCCTGCCAGTTGAGGTCTTTCGGAATGACTACTGTAGCTCCTTGATCAATAACAAAGGATATAGTATTATATCCTTTATAGTATAGTATCAAGGACAGATGTACTTTGTGTTTAATTGCACAATTACACATTAATTTACTGGGACTTTTAATTTAGTGCAGGAATAGCCCCGATGTTCACTTACTGGCCACCAGATGGAGCCATTAAATAAGTTTTGACTAGTTGGACAGTGTTAAAAATTAAATGTTAAGTTCATATATCTTGAATCTTTATTTTCATTAATCTGTTACAGTTATAATGCATTAAATGCATTGTATACATCACATTGCATTTAATATACATCACTTTATGGGGTTTGTTTGCATGCAGAGCGTGAACTCCTTAATCTTTCAGTGAATTCACAATGTTTCTACTGTATATCGCATCTTGGACAATGGAAACATTTGGAAACCCCATATTGTTTGAGGTTTGACTGTCCTGTTATTATTTCACCACTAAGACAGCAGAGTAAAGCTATAATATTTAGTTGGGTTATTTATAAAAGTGAATTAGATTCTGTATCTCATAACTGCCTTCCCCTACTTGCGTGATTGCAAGTATTTCCCTGAAGTACTGTTTCTGTGACAATTTGTTCATAACCTGTAGTACACAGGTCACTAAAGATTTAAAGGACTAGGGGATAATGCAAAGAAGGTTAATCTAGAGGGGTAACTGCTACTTTAACTTTAACCCCTTAACCTTTAAAGGTGCTATATAAAATAAAGTTTATTATTATATTATAACTGTAAGGGGTTTTAATGATTTCTTTCCAGGTGGGTGCATTAGTGACTGTCTATTCTTAAGAGAGTCCAGAATTAGAATAAATATTTGCTATGGCGTCCTGTTCAATGTGTGTCCTGCCTTGTGCTTCCCAAGATAGGCTTTGGACCATCATAACTCTGAATTGGATAAGCAGTCATTTAAAGGGATGGGATGTGACTTTATATTCGCATGGTATAGAATTAGTAGCATGTGCTTATGAGAACTGTACATTATCTGTTTTTTTAAAGAATGTAGAAAATGCTATAGATCATAGATAATTGTATATGTTGACCTTCTATCTGTTGGCGTCATTAATGTAAAAATCAGGAAACCGCTCTTGCAGTAGTAGGATTGCTTTGGTGTGTTAGATTATAGCAAAACTTGTAAGTCTAGGATTTCGTGGATTTAGGGAGTCGCTTATGAAACGTTTGCTGTGGTAATACTTTAAGCACTGTGATTTGGTACGTGATTTCATATTCTTTCATAGCACAGTATAGTTCAGCTTTATAGCGGTAATTCTAAGCTTTTCCTTGTAAGAGTTAGAACTAGTGAAGAAAGTAGAAAACACAGGTAAACAGCATATTTAATATTTTGTCTGCAGGTAGTCAACAGAATACTTTGTATGCTTGGATTCACAGTTTGTACTATCTTTTTGAAGATCCTGGCTGCCATTTCAAGTCCTTCACTCTCCAGTTTTTCAACTGAGTTGAGCTTCCTTTTTCCATTTCCATTGAGACGAAACTCCCAGCTAGTTTGACCATTCTTGCAAGTGGATCATGAGAGAACCCCGCATGTGAAGTGGATGGAAATGTAGTAAGTGACTCAGTCTCGAGCCTTGGCCTCTCAGTGACTCATTCCCACACCCTGAATGGGAGAAGGAGGATTCCCTTTTGGAAAAGGCCAGGCCATTCCTCAAGAGGAAATTGTTTCCAAATTACATAAAGACATGGACAGAGACTCTTTGACTCTGGCTTGTCCTGTTATGAGAAAGCAATTTATCACACTTTTTTTCTCCCCCCCCCCATTGGAAAGGAAATGCCTAAAATGTTCACATAGTATGATATAACCCAGCCTTTTCGAGCCTCCACCCATGACCGAATTTCCTCCCTCTGTACGTTAAATGTCAGGAGTGGTCCGAGCTGTGACCAGAACGCTAAGTGGTCTCTTCAGTGTGTACAGCTGAGGAAGCTGAGGTGTAAACAGTGCAGACACTATGATTTATAGGAGCCCCGGAGCCCAGATGGTGTTGGGTGGGGTGGCTGTTTGAGAAGTGTAGAAATAATAGACTTTATTGGAGCAGGGTGGAGTTCCTCTAGTGCCCGCTGCACTGCCCACACTTAATTGTTACATCTGCCTTCATTTGACAAAGGCTGATGTAGCACAATAAGAGGAGAAGACTTATCCTTAAGTGCACTTATCTACGCAAGTTAGTCTGGATTTACATACAACCAGAGTTGTCAAGCTGATAATTTGAACATGTTTAAAGATCCCACATGAGCTGCACCTCATCTTTAGATCAGATCATCCAAGTTGAATATGTTTTAGCTTGGTGTGTTGTGACTCTCCCTAATGACTTGAAAAAATTAAATAATAGTTGTAGTGAATAGATTCACAATGATTTATTTTACCAGTTTCAAGCATTTCAGTGCTGCAATGAAAACATCAACAGAGCTATAGCACTGCTGTACTCCTCCTAGGTTTATGTAAAATACTTTGAATTTAACTACTGTGAATTTGACCTTTAGCCAGTTTTATGTTTATTGAGGTTTGGGGATTCAATCTATTGCTAGATGCAAACCACTGCAATTGTAAGCAAACACTTGTCTGTTGCTATTTATTTTTTCCTTAGCTTATTTGTTTAAAGCATAGTGTCAAGAGCTGCTGTCAGTAAAAAAAAAAGCCACAGCAATGCTGTGTGAAAGTTTACTGTTACCAAATGCCTTGGGAGTGAGCCTGCAGACAGGGCAGAGAATGGGCCTTTCTCTCTTGAGCACTGACAAGTGCTTTGAGGATTCGTCCCAGGGACTTTGTGTGACTCATCTTAGGTTTCAGGATGGTATCGTTTTTCAATAAAGAGAGAAAGCACAAAGATGACTTCAGTATAATGAAACTGCTATTTGACTATAGTGGAGTGAGCTTTCTATCCTGTAAACCCACTCAGAACTAAAGTTATTTCTGCTGAGGGCAAAACATTGATTATGGATGGAATTAGTACAAGGTGATTAACTTTAGAAGTAATACACAGTTAGAGGTCAGTGTAATGCTGTTAGAAACATTGCATGTGTTCCACCTTTGGAGAGTAGGGTGTGCCATTGTCATGTCTTTTTGCTATTGAGTGATGTTTTCTTTTCCAAAGAAGCATTCCCAGAAATGTGCTCATACCTCATCTAAAGCACTGCCTTTACATTTGTCATACATTCCATGAGCATAAAAATAGATGTTGGACACAAACACAATATGCAGAAAAGACAAATGAAGATCATAAATTGGTCTGTGTACTTAAAACTCTCACGGGGATCTGCTGACATTTTTTCCTGGAATGTTGGCTCAAGGAATGGACTCACTAGCAAAAACTTCATGAGGTGTGGCTCCCGATTCATGAACATTTGTGAAATCAAATGTATTTACTCGGTTATACCTTTTTGCTTCTTCCAACATGTAGACATGAAATTGTACACCTTGGCTGCATGACTAGTGTTGAAGCCAAATTTGCTCAGTAAAAATTATGAGAAACTTTCACTATGACACAGTTAGTACAAAATATATACAGTAATGTGTGCTACACATGTGAGAACTCTTTAACTGAAATCTCAAGCGTGCAGTGCACTCTTAAACCACAAGATGGGGCTCCCGGACCTCGATGAACTTCAAAGTGTTGGCCAAAGGCCTTCCCGCCAATCTGAGGAGGGGGTTGGTGCTCGGGCTGAGAAGAACTGAGGCAATCTGGAAAGCATTAACGAAGCTTGCCAGTTTGAAATACATGTACAACCGGAGCTGGGGGGGGATTCAGTGAGTAAGTCCGGGGTAGTGGAGGGGGCGGAGGGGTTGGGGCTTAGCGTGAGCAGAATGTGTATCTGGGGAGGTGTGCCCCCCCCACCCCAGTGCACGCACACACCTTCCTCCCATCTGTGGAGCACAATCTGAAACCATAAATCATCACAGGAAGAATTTGGCAAAAAAAAAAGAGGCTGATTTCTAAAATGGTGCCAGCTTGAACCTGCCGCATTCATGATTTGTCTTGGATGTTTGACCACCTCTCACAACCACACAAGAATGAAGACAGTGGCTCCATACAGTTTTTAAAAGATGTTATTGTTGTAGCTTCCAGTAGTTTGTCGTCTTTTCAAATGCAAGCTGTACTTTCAGTTGTTCTGTTGCCCAGAGGGAACTTCTTCACCCTTCTCTGCAAAGAAATCCATTTATGAACACATGAACAATGCAAATCCTTTACCTGGGACTAGAATTAGTGATTAGAAAAGAACTGTGCAGATAAATGAGCATATGGATGCCTATTACAGAGCTAATGCACCGGTAAAACGATCAGTCCTGTGGGGGTTACAAGCTTGATGTGTGTGGTGAAATAGAGAGTGGAGGCACATGGCGCAACACTTTGTCTTATTTATACAAAGTGCCAGTTCTTTGTGAACAGGACTTGGTGGTTTCTGTGTTTGGAAAGTCACAGTTACCTCATGTGTGTGCAGTTGATACTGCTTTTTGTCCTTGAGAAAAGCTTGAGAATGGCTTTTATATGGCTA